GTGTTTGCGCGCAAGCGGCTCCTCGAGCCTCGACCGACCCGTGCGCGTTCTCATTAATTAATAACTTCCTGAAGAAAATAGAAAAGGATACATTCGCAAACACACGTATACACATACACACGCACACATACACGCGCTCGCAGCATCCATCTCGCGCTGGCGAGACCCTCGCGCGCTTCCCACAGTGGCGTCTCTCTCCTCGCCCTTCTCTGCCTCCCTTCCGACAAAGGGCTCTCTCTCTCTCTCTCTCTCTCCCTCTCTCTCTCTCTCTCTCTCTCTCTCTCTCTCTACCTGTTGTGTACGCAAATACAAAAATCACCCACCAACCTGTCAGTCCTCTCCATCCTCGCTCCGCTCCAGCCGCGTCGTCATCGCCGCCGCCGATCGACGATCGCGTCTCGCGCGTAAACCAAACGCAACGAGAGGACGACGACGTGACGCAGGTAGAGACCGACCGACCGACCGACCGATCGATCGATCGATCGATCTTACCTGCCTGCTTGGCTGACTGGCTGTTGCTCGGGCTGCGCGCGCGCGCGCGCGCGATCACCGTGACAATTTTCCACGCACTGGTCCCCGCACAGACTCGGAGAGGTGACTGGGAGATTCTGAGGACCGACGGTTCTGGTTCACGACTGGTTCTTCTCCTTCTCCTTCGGCCTCTGGCCCCTTCCATGGTGCACCGGCACAAGAGCGCGGAAAAAGAGACGCAGGCAGCAGCGGCGGCATCACGCCGAGAGGATCGGAGAGGAGGAAGAAGGACAGAGACACACAGAGAGAGAGAGAGAGAGAGAGAGAAAAGGAGGGTGAGGAAGGGGGGAGGGAGAGAGAGAGAAAGAGAGAACGAGAAGGCGGATGAGAGGATGCTGGGGATCGCTCTGGCTGGCCGGACGACAGGTTGCCCTGTAGGAAAAGGGACGACGGGGTGGAAGCTCGGACCGCTCGGGGCTCCGGCAGGGAAGTCGATCGGTAGGGTCAGGGACGGATTCGCGGATTTCGGCTGTCCCTTCGTCGCGGAAACGTCGTTCTGACATCATCAGACAGGGTCGATCGGCCGATCGGAATCTCAGTGATCGGGCTGATCGGCGGAATCGGTGATCGAAATCGATGAGTCGCGTAATTATGAGCGATTCAATCGGCCGACGAAGTTGATTATCGGTCTGTGTGTAATCAGCGAAGTCGGAGTAATCGATCGAGGCGATCGTAGCGTGCAATCAAGAGAATGCCATTCGCCGCGTCAATTCGCCGGTCCTCTTGGTTGGATGAGCAGGGTTTATCAGTCGGTCGGCTGTTGTTCTCCGATATTGCTCTCGACGATTGCTCGCTCGCGACGATTTCCCTCTCTCGCTTTCTTCTAGTCTCTTTTTCTTCCATAAGCTATTGTCCAAGTGAGTCCACGAGAGGCGGGCGAGCGGCGCGGGGCGGTCACGTTGAATGTGAATACAACGAGATGAAGGAAGAGCGATGCCGGAGCAACGACGAGGCGAGGCAGATCGAGCGCGCGAATTGAAATCAAGATTTACTGGCTCTCCGCTCTCGCGATGGCGAGCGACGAGCGCGCTCGGCAGAACGAACGTATCTAATAAAAATCAATTGACTCTCGGGCGTAGCGCGCGAATGGGATTTCTTTTCGTGGATTAGTCGCGTCGGTTGGCCCCGCGCTTTGCCGCGTCCGATTCGTCCGAATGAACGGCTTCTCCACTCCTTGCTAAATTAGCCGGGAGGACCTCGGGTGAGAGGGCGCCGAGGAAGGGCTCCGCGCCGCGCGACGCCAAGGTCTCCGGCGAGCCGAAGGAAGGCGTCCGTCTTCCCCCGACGAATCTTCGGCCCTGAATAGGACCCTTCGAAACTTTACACTCCACTACCTGCCCCGCCGCTCGACGCGACCCAACAAAGTCCGGAAAGGCTCGTGGCTTTGTCTCAAGTACGAGAACCGTCGGAGACGCGACCAAGTCTCTCTCTCTCTCTCTCTCTCTCTCTCTCTCTCTCTCTCTCTCTCGTGTCGGCGGAGCGAAAATGTTTTCCCGCGAAATAAATCCCGCGGGTCGCGCGTCGACGTTCCTCTCGCTTCTTCACTTTGTTCGACCGATGATTCGGTTGTCAAGAATACGAATCACTGGCGAATTTCTTTGATGTGATATATATATATATTTTCCGAGTCGACCGAACGTCGTTGATTATCGCCGCCGATTACGCAGCGTCGCCGATGTCAGGCCTCGCCGAGACGGGAACTAATCGTCATCAACGGCTGGCGCTTCTGATGATGATTTGTTCCTCGCCAAGCGCCAAAGTCAACAAAGTCCAACGAGGCGCACAACTGCACAGAGCAAGAGAGAGAGAGAGAGAGAGAGAGAGAGAGAGAGAGAGAGAGAGAGAGAGAGAGAGAGCGTCGGTGGCAATGACCCGGGCCCGTGTTGAAGAGCGCGCGAATTCGACGACGACTCGATCGGCTCCAGCTGGCGCACTCACGTATACGCGACGTGAAATGGATTTCGCCTTTACATCTCGATTTACTACTTAACTTGGCTATCTTTATCCATGTGCGAGCGTTGCTCGCGACGCACATTCGGGCATCATGGCCGGTGCCGCTCGAGCGCTAGAAAATCGCCTCGATCGCGGCTGCTTCGTCCGTCGCGAAATTCCTCGCGAAACACTGCCGGCCTCTGTCCTTATCCGATGGGGTGTCTCTCTGCTTTTATGTCTCTTCGCGCGGACAACGCGCGCGTCTTCGGCAGTGAGGTGAGAATTCTCGCGAGGGATGGCCGATGATGAATCGCCGCCACAATCGCCACAATCGCCACAATCAAACGTCGCGACAGTGACACGCGGCTCGCGTGTAATTAAGCGGTGTAATCCGATCTGAGACGCGCGCGTCCCTCCTCCACCACCACCTCTCGTGTCGTTTCTTCGTTTTCTCGCCGTTTGGATGCGGTAAGCCGATTAGGTCCAGCTGGAGCACTCTCACGCGGCCCGTACAAATAGATCTTGCGGCCGCTCGCGTAGCTCACGCGGCGGCGTGGCTATCTTCGTGCGTTGAATCGTCGCTCCGTATTTAAAGATCGCGCGCGGGTCAAGTACCCGCGCGCTAAACATTCGGCCGTCGCGCGACGCCGCGGTGCGCCGACGAGGTGGCGACATCGTCGGCAATTAAGCGTAATCGTGCGACCGCGCCGGCTTTTCTCATTTTCCGCCGAGTTACCCGCCGCTCTCGTCGCGCCGCAAATCGCGAAACGCAAGAAGCACGCGTTCCCCTCTCTTTGTTTTTCTCTTCTTCTCATCACGCAAAACACGCGTATTACACGTATTAATATCGGTTAATATTAATCGACGCATTAACCCTTTAACGCCTACTGCGTAACTACAGGCGTTAGCAGAAACGCATTCAAGAGTCCATGACTTGGTGAAAAGAGGAGATATTTTCGTTTTCCTTGCACCGCCGTAAAGGTGAATTCTTCTTCTAAAAAATTGCATATAGATCGTACGCAGAGTCTGTACTTGGCTCAGTTTTGATGATAACGTGTTTTGTCAAATTCCAAGTAGGCATCGTTAGCATTGTTACTGACATCTACAAGTGCACTATAAATGAATAGATCTGTTATAATTCTATACATTTGGAAGCTTTCTCAGATGCAAGATGTGAAATGAAGGGACGATTGACTATCTAAATGGTGATCTGTAAGATATTATTAAAACTAAAAAAAGAAATTTAACCGGCGATCAGGCGTATTTTTCGCTTTCTGGCGAGTAGTTTCTGTCTGGAAAGGTAGATATAAAATTTTCGTAGATGTAAAATTCTGATATCTTCTTCTGGTTATCGCTACTTGTAGTCTCAGTTCAAAAAAACTCAAATTTTATTCTCAAACCACTTATAAAAAAAAGTCAGGCGTTAAAGGGTTAATAATTCATGGACGAACATTTCGACTCTTCGTCGGATCGTCGTCCTTGATGACGACACGTGTAATTATTGTGCCTCCGTTTCTTTCTCTCTTCGTAGACGATGGCCGAAAGCGCGCTTTCGGCTCCGATACGCGCTCGAGCGCGCGCGCGCGCGTCTCGGTCGATAGTCGCCGAATGAAAAAAATGTGGAATTCCCAGTGGGTGGACCAGTTCTCTCTCCGGCCCCGAAGATCCGTGCATGACCGTCGTGTCGTGTCCTTTCACGACAGACGGAGCTGCGCGGCATCTCGTATCGCACCTTCCCGCGGCGAGTTTTACGAAGAGCGCCGTCTTCTTTTTTCTCTTCTCTTTCCCTCTGCTTTTTTCCCCGTCTAGCCCTCTCCCGTACCTCCCCTCTCGCTTCGTTACTTTCACTTTTGCGACGCGTTACTTTGAAACTACACCTCGAGAGTAGGATGTGGCCGCGCTCGATCTCGTATTTTGTAAGCCGCCTTCGAAGCCGCTTACGAGATCGCTCGCGAACGAGAGCTGGACTTTTGAGCGACGAAGGCTTTAATGGCGCTGTCGCAATCCCGACGGTTGGAATTCTGCTTCTACGCCGATGCCGCGGGTGCTGTCGAGGTCGGGAGACCGATGTCGAATTTTTTTACATGTAACGCTGCGCAAGCCGTCGTCCCACCTTGACGCTGCGAACGATCTTCCGAGAGTTCTCGGCAAGATTCGCAGGATCAATGTGGGACTCCAAATTTTGTCTCGGCTTATACTCGTGCTTCTCGCGATACTTTCAATATCACTCACGTACGTACATGTCTCGAAACAAAAATGCAGCGAATACAGCAGGGAGGGAGTGAATAATGCGCAAACGCCGAGGAGAGGACGATTTCAGTGACGATGGCAGTGATGAACGCGCTGCAGGATCAATGTGGGACTCTAATTTTGTCTCGGCTTATACTCGTATACTTCTCGCGATACTTTCAATATCACTCACGCACGTAATGTCTTAAGACAAGAATGCAGCGAATATAGCAGGGAGGGAGTGAATAATGCACAAACGCCGAGGAGAGGACGATTTCGTGACGATGGCAATGATGAACGCGCTGGGCTGTGACTCAGATCGTTTTTATTCTCAAAGCTTTTATGCACATGTAACGATCAACTGTAACAATACTATTCCTGATGATCGCAAAGGAGGTTTCCTTTTTTCCTCTCTCTCTCTCTCTCTCTCTCTCTCTCCCTCTCTCCCTCTCTCTCTCTCTCTCTCTCTCTGTCGAGTACACACCGTCGCGATATCTACGCGATCTACTATTTGTCCCCTCGATATCGCGCTCTTTTCTCTTCCTCTCATTTGGTTTGCACAATATAAAGTAGTCAAGAATTAGATGGCTCTCTATCGTATATATCATACAGAGAATATATCTATCGTTCTTACTCTCTCCCTCTCTCCCTCTGCCTCTCTCTCTCTCTCTCTCTCTCTCTCTCTCTCTCTCTCTCTCTCTCTCTCTCTCTCTCTCTCCTAATCGAACGGCGAGCCTCGTGAAAATCGCTCGTACAACAAGTCGTCTCGTAATACTGCTCGAGTTACCGATTCCCGGCTGAATCAGTGCGAGCGCGAATCGTAGAATCCTGCCGCGGGAACGCTCATCGTACACCCACGCGAACATCCTCGGGACGGGACGCAGCTTAAGGATAATGTTCCGTTAGTTTGCGCTTATGTAAGACCAGCGGTCCGAGCGGTCGCGTTAACACGCGTGTGCGACACGCAAAGAATCACCGTCGCGAAGCCATCTGGCTCCGCGTCTCGTTTTATCTCTACAGCTTATGGATCGTTACAGTCGACTCTATCTTGGCAATATAGAATTACTTCGAAGATCATCGAGAGGTCAGATATATCAGGACTCGCCCGCCTAATACTTAAAAATCTTCCGCATCCGTCTCTCTTTCTCTCTCTCTCTCTCTCTCTCTCGTTGTCCCTTAACATTACGATCTTACACATAAACATTTCTCTCTTTTTTTCTTCTCTTTTGTCGAATAGTGAACGAGACCGCGCGTAATCAAGTGTTTTTCTTTATGGGATACGTGAGTCTTCTTACGTGGTACGCAAATAGGAATTCCCATTCTTAGAATTATATAATATTCGAAAACTAGTCTCTCCTCTCTCTCTCTCTCTCTCTCTCTCTCTCTCTCTCTCTCTCTCTCTCATCCTCTCCTCGCATTCTCGGAAACCCGTGTGTGTTCTATGCGAACGATACCTGCGCCGTAATTCTCTCTCTCTCTCTCTCTCTCTCTCTCTCTCTCTCTCTCTCTCTCTCTCTCTCTCTCCCGCGTGCGCGTTCGCTCCGTTCTGCTCGATGAGAATCGAGAGACCTCGCCGGTCCTGCGATTTACACGGACGAGGACTCGCTCGTAGGACGCAGACGACACCCGATCCGGAAGATCATCCGAAACGATATCCTCGGCTGACCTCCGGAAACGGGGTGCGATCGTGCCGCGTAGAATCCGACTCCTCGCGAATGAGAACGCGTAGATCTGCGGACTCGCGTATCCTCCGAGTGAAAGAGACGAGCGTATTGCTTCGTGTAAAGCTGGATCCTTCACTGTCCGTCGGCGGCGGACAGAAGTCCGTCGATCCTCCGTCGAACCACACATTCTTCGATTCTTTCAGAATTCACGGTATATATCGCTTCAGCGTCACGTCTCTCCACGATCGTTTGCTATCGGGAGGAATATTTCACGGAGGAACGACGGACGTCGGTCTGTGAACGGATAGCGTGACGAGCAGCCTGAGCGGTACAAAGTATAAGTATCTACCAAAAAAGGACACAGTCGTCTGTCTCTCTTTAGAAACTTGAGAAAGGTGAATACTGACGTTGTCACGCGCTCGTCGCGACGAGACGCGGGGAATTTGATTCGACTCTCGGGCGAGGAGAGTCCGATAAAGAGTCCGTTTATTGTGTGCGCGAGTCCTTTCGATGCGGCGGCCGAGATTACGCCCCGGCGGCGGCGATTACGACGAGCGGGCAAGGAGTTGCGCGATGCAAACACGCTAAATGCAAAACGAAAAGCTTTCTCTCGGTTTCTCTTCTCCTCTCCTCGTTTCTCTCTTTCCGTAGCCTTTCCGTACGACATGACACGACACGACACGACAGAGCGCCACTGCAAGTCGATACAAGTCGTCGAGGAGCTTCGCGACGACCAAGGCGACTTTGTGATTTAGACGGGCCTCGCCGCGACGCGCACGCGACGTGCGAATGAGAAGAAATCAAAATTCTCGGGAGCGACGCGAGCGTCGAACGCGGCCGCGCGCCGTCTCGCCGCGCGATTTCCAAATTGATATTCCACGGTCGCTCAAGCACGCCCCGAAAGCGCCGTGGGAACGTCGCCCACTCGGAAACAATGTCCGTGAGCGCGGTTTACAATGCGGACGCGCGGGCGCTACGCTAGTAAAACTCCGCTGAAAATTCTCCTTTCTCACGGAGGAGCTACGTCGACGAGCGCGACCGACCAATTTTACTCCCACCGGCCGTAATTCTTCTTCTTCCTCCTCCTCCTCCTTCTCTTCTTCTTCTTCTTCTTCTTCTTCTTCTTCTTCTTAAGGAAAGTACATAGTAGTAAACGTTTTTCTCGGCTGCATTAATTTTGCTAATTCCCTCGGCTAATTATTTCGACGTTGCTTAGTCCCATACGTTAATGACAGACAGCGAAGCTATGCATGTCAAAGTCACGCACGATATACAATTCTCTCGAGCGTCTCTCTCGATAATCGTATGTGTGCGCGCCCCGCATCGTATCCAGTAATAATCGCTACGACACACACCGAGACATTGCGACATGACGTGGTCGAAAGACCGTGATCGTAATTATTTACAATCGATGATATGTGACGAAGTAAGCGACGTAAGGTACGCACGGTACACGCGATTTTGCAGCAGCCTGATTCTCACGCAAGCTCGCTCATCTGCCGATAGTACACGCTCGCGCTTACGAAGTGGACGAAAAACAAGAGGAACAAAAGAGAGAGAGAGAGAGAGAGAGAGAGAGAGAGAGAGAGAGAGAGAGAGAGAAAAGAAAGAACGAGCAAGTCGACGAACGTGGGACGAAAGGTTAACGGACGAAATGAGAGAAATGAGAGATGCACAATATTTTATACAAATAAATATAAAACATATATTTAAATTAAATGCCACAAAATATCTTGCTCTGCGGTAAATCCGTGAAAAAGGTCCAAGTGCAAGATCCTATACGCATACTCGGGCTCCTCTCCGCGTGAAGTTACATTGCCGGACACGACAGACAGGATCGTCGCGTCGTCGTGTCGTCTCGACGACGCGATTCCGATATACCGACGTGATACCGCGGGACGACGACGTATCGCGATACGCCGATCGAAATCGGACCAACATCATCGGGGAAGAGGGGGGGCTGGGGTGGGAGAAGGGGGACCAAAAAAAAAAGAAAAAGAAAATCTGTACAAAAGGGATCACGGACTCGTGCGCGTAGACTGAGCGCGCGCTTCTTCGAGGGGCTGAGCGAGAGTTGACATCCTGGCAAGCAGCGCCAGCGATCCTCGTCCAGCTCTCGACTGCCGTCGAAGAGGGCCAGACCAGGACAGAGCCCGCGGAAAGTGGAAAGGAAGTTCGGCTGTGCCTCCTCGCGTCTTCCGCGCTCTCGCGAACAGTCTGCGCGTACAAGTCCGCGCACAAGAGAGGGATTCGCCGAGGGTGGTCGATGACGCGCGGCGGCGGCGAGCACGGCGCCCGTCATCGCAGCCATCCTCGTCCCTCGATATCGATACGATTCAGTCTTAATGAATTTCTACCGCCGCATCTGCGCCACCGCAGTTTCCCGCGGCTTTCCCTTGGGAAAGATTACACGCTCGGAGACGCCGGCAATAAGCTTCTCTCCCGTCGCGCTTCTTCTGGTCCTTGTCTTTCAACCCCCTCGCGTCGCGAGGTGAAACCGCCCTTGGCTGCCTGCGCGACGAATCTTCTCCCTCTCATCGCATGCCGTTAACATTCATCGATATATTCGATTGCGATGTCACATCGCAAATATCGTTACAATCGGCGTATACAATAAGAAGCACAAGGGAATTGTCTCGTTCTCTACGACAGCCACCGGCGATTGCGGAGGGGAAGGGGGGGCGGGGTGTGCGTGCCGGAAGTCTTTCGCGGAACGAGTGCTCGCGGACGCGCGTTTTCACGGAAACCAACAATTATTGCTGCGAACGCGCTCGGTCGTCGTGAATCGTACACGCGTTCTTGCTCCCTCCTGCTGGATCGCTCAGGTAGGGCTCGCGGGACTACGAGGAGGAGGAGAACGAGGAGGAGGAGGAGGAGTCCAGTAGAAGCCGCCGCTTTCGGCTCGACCGCGCTCGTTTGATGGTGTCGCTCGAAGTGCAGCCGGCGTTGAAAAACGCGCGCTCGGCAATAAATATTAATGGTGGCGCGCGCGTACACTGACCTTCAAAACGGCCCGAACATTTTTCACGAGATGCAGCTGATGTTGAACGACAAGTCTTGATTTCCGATAATTTCGCAGAAACAAGTCCCGCCGTTGAGCCATCAGTACTGCGCTCTGAGTCGCGTGGGAAAGCGGAAAGAGGGTTCAAGCCGTTTGGAGACATCATCCACGTGGATTCTCCGAGAACGAAAGGGGAAGGAAAAAGGACGCGTGCGAGTGGGCAAAAATGAGGAGAAAAATATGGAAAAAAAAAAAAAAAAAAAAAAGAAAATCAATCTTGCGCGCGTTTTTAGCGTTTCGCTGCATCGCGTGCTCGTCCGCGGCTTGCAGCCGGCAGCCGAGTCTCCTCGCATCGCGTTGACATCGCGCGAGTAAACAAAAGTCGCGAAGCCGAGTCCAGCGTTAAAACGTGCCGACGACGGTGGCACGCTCCCCTCCCCCCTCTCCCTCGTCATCAGTCGTCGCGCGCGTACGATTGTCGTATCGAGCTCAGGGACTACATTTAGCACTGAACTCGCCGTCGTCCGCGAGGCATTCGCGATCGTGGAGGCGCTCGTGGACACGAGCTCGTCAAGTTCGTGTCGCAATTTCAGCGCGCGGTTTCCGTCGCGCGGTTCCCCTCCTCCGCCTCTCGCTCGTCCGACAGGCGAGCGCGCGCGGGCACTCTTACGACTAACGCGCTAATTCCTACCCGCGGCCGCGCGGCTCGCAGATTGCTCTTACACGATTTATGTACAGGTTATCACGGTTTCAGGTAAGTCGAGGGAGGATCAGCGGCGGCACGACACCGCGACGACACGAGGAGCGTCGCTTCGTTTCGTACGAGAACAACGCGTCGTCGCTCCGTCGCCCGCCTCGTCAACGACGTGAGCACGACTCGGAGAAACGGATCGTCTCCCCCCCCCCCTCCCCCTTCACCTCCGGCGCGAGAGGGTGGCGATTCTTTTCTTTTCCTTTCTTCTTCCTCCTGGGGGCAAGGCGAGTGCAACGCGCGACCTGGAGACGTTGACTCAGGGGGAAAGAAAAAGAAGAGAGAAAAAAGGAGGATACAGTCACGCCGCTACGTTCCTGCCGGCGAAACACATCTAGACACATGTACACATCGTTACACCCTACTAGATAATTATCAGTTAAATATCACAATCTATGATAAGAAGTTTGCGTATGCGCGCGTGCGCCTGCTTCGGCTCGTCCGCTCGCCGTCGTTCAGCCGTCGTGGAAACTGCAGTGCGCGCGAGATGTAGAAATCAACGAGAGCGCGTAGAAAAATAAATAACTGTCTCGGGCGAATCAGCCGTGTGTAACTCACTAATCTGTCTTGTTCGGGTCCGCGCGCGGGCCTACGCGGCGGTGTGCCTGGCGACCATGCGTGGAGATCGATCGACGGATGTTTGATGATGGAGAAAGAAGAGATCGCACGGCGATCTCACGAGAGAACTTTTTCAGCCGATTTGTTTCTTTAACGTTCGACCGACTGGCAAAAGTCGTCTCTGCTCGCGACAAGTACGGCCGTGGGTCCCGCGGCGATCGCGCGACCTTTCTCGAAGTTTCCTCGGGAGGGACGAGTGACAAGGTCCCATCCGCACACCTCCGGCGCTCGCAAAGTCGCATCGTGAGTCGCACGCGACACTCGCCGCTAAGCCCGCTCTGAGGAAGAAGTTGTACAATCATCAGCCTGATCATCCTCAGCGCTTGGATTAGCGCGACGATCGATCGATGCCGCGTAGGCCGGCGCGCGGACTACCCGCATCGATAAATTCGCGTATCCGCAAAACGGAGGCGAGTGCGACCACTCGCCGCCGTCGTCGAAGGGGCAAGCGGGCGGGCAGACGACGAGCGGCCGGGTCCGCCGCGTTCTCGCGGCAGCCCATTTGTTCGCGACATTTGTATGCGACGTAAATATACGCGCGGGCGTTTTCAGAGAAACAAGTTAGCAGCCGCGATAGCGTCGCGCTCGATTGTTCCTAAGGGCGCGATGGCCGCTCGTCCACCGACCAACCCCTTCGACCTCGCACGCCGGCGAAAACGCAATTCGCTCGCGAAAAAATTCGGTCTCTCTCTCTCTCTCTCTCTGTACCGCGTATGTATAATCGCACAGCTGGTCTCGCCGCCTCGTCACGGGAGGTACAGCGCACGGAGACCAAGACCAAGCCCGCTCGAATCAGTCGCTCCGGCTAATTTACGATTTTCTAGCATGGCCCTACGACGAAAGAGAACCGATGAGTTGAACAAAGAAAAGGAGAGAGAAGCGGATACAACGTTAAATATATATATATATATATATAACGGCGCTTCGTGTTCGGAGAGTACACACACACACATGTATATATATGTATACGTTAAAGGGGTAAGAGATCGTGATCGATAAAAAATATATATGTACATGTATATGTATGTATATGTCGTATATACAATCGAGGCTCGCTCTCTCGTCCTGTCTACACGACGTCCGCGCTTCCTTTCGCAGGGGAAACAGCCGCCGAACGGCGGGCCTCTCTTTCTTCTTTCCTCGCTACTTCGCTCTCCCTCGCGAGAAGAAACCGCGCGTTGCCAACGGCGGACGCTGAGCACGAGCGATGCTCAGTTAAACGCTCTATGTACAATATGAGACAAGTGCGATCTGCGGTCTATTTACAAGATTTATACGCACACACACAGATCCGATAGAAAATGCGCCGCGCACGGCGGCACGCTGTGCCGCGAGAATAATTCCTGCGTGCTGGATTTCTTACGAACGGTCAGTCGAGAAGCGCCTGCGGATCGGACCGACCAAAATCGTAGCCGCTTCTCTTCCTCCTACGTTCGATAAAGTCTCCGCGCGAAACTGAGCGACACGCGCTGCTAATAATTTAAGGTGTTTCCTTCTTTTCCGGGCGATTTTGCAAAAATTTAGATATCTCAGAGGGATCTCCCGGACCTCCGGGGTATCCCTCGTTGTGGCTTGATGCGTAAAAGTTTTGGTGAAAAGTAAAATCTTAAAAAAAAAAAAAAAAAAAAAAAACAAAAACAAAAAGGAAAAAGGAAGATCCATCATAATTACAAGATTGCATCAAGATTGCTCATGACGATGCACTCACACACGACTTTGTGAGATAATTCCGCTTCAGATTACTGGAATTTATTAAAAATCACAAATCGAATCACTGGTCGGTTAAGTATCGGCTAACGGCGAGAGACTTTCTGAAATCGCTCAAATATCGCACGAGACCGGAATTTCCCCAGTGCGAAAACGCAATCTTTTCTACATGCCGAAGAGCACCTAGAATTCACGCACTGAGGACTCGCGACTCCCGTGGTCGAACGGTCGTGACGCACGTCGCTGCGAAGAGGCCCGAAAGGAATGTTCCGCGGCGTCACGACGTTACCGTGCGCGGAAATTTGTCTACTCGTTATCACGGACTTCACCTCATTCATGCGGCTACCGAAATATATACACACACACACACACACACATTCTCTCTCTCTCTCTCTCTCTCTGTCACTCTCTCGCTGTCTTAATCTCTTTTCCTTAACCTTACGTTACAAAGCGAGTAAACGGGTATAGGATATACATCGGAGCGAGCTACACATCGAGCCGTTCCTTTTCTTTGTGGAGTTCCTTGAGGTTCAGGTACACGGCCAGACACGCGACCGTCATGAGCTGTCGCTCGAGGATCCCCTAGCTCCTGTCTCTCGACGCGCCACAGCGATCGACGTGCTTGTGATCTGAGGCTGAAGCTTCATGCTACGCGATACTACACCGCGCGACAGCGGCTGTCCATCGAAGGTGATACCGCGAGGAGAATACTCCGCGAACGAATGAGTTCGGCTTCCGTGTTTCGGCCAAGGGATCCGCGAACGACGTCGCCTCGTGTAGCTGAAGCGTGTACGCCAAGTCTCGTCGGTCTCGTTGCAACGATGAACACAAGAACTTTCCCTCCTCGAGCTGCGGACGCGATAATACGGATGTTGATGATGATGACGATGATGATGATGAAGACGGCGGCGACGGCGACGACTAGGATAACAACGATGACGATGAAGATAATGATGAAGAAGAGGATGACGACGATGACGTAAGCGGCGGCGAAGAGTGTCTCCAGGAAGAAAGGAGGTAGTAGTAGTAGTAGTAGTAGTAGTAGTAATAGTAGTAGTAGTATCATCAGTAGTAGTAGTAGCAGACGAGCGCCTACGGCGCACAGTCCTCAGCCCGGGGTGGGTGGGGTCTTGTGTCAGTGAATATTGAAGTTGTACTGCTTACGGCTGGACGAGATACGGAGCCATCGGCTGACAGCCAGCGGCTCCGGATGACAGTTCGACCATGAGATGTCACCAAAGTGCGAATATGGCGACGAGGTGGTCGTGGCCTCGACCTGGATCGACGTCGTTGTGGTGGTGAAGTCCTGCGAGGACTGGTAGTCGTGCGACTTGTGCCTCTTCTGTTGCCGCGACGACATGATCACCGGGCTCGCGTGATTCAGCCGCTTGCCGTTGATCTGACTGGCGTGCTGCTGCTCCAGCTGCTCCACCGGCTCGAACAGGTTTAGGCTCGACAATGACGCCTGCATTTGATAGCTCCTGGCCGACTGTACAGGTGACTGCGAGTGGCTGTTGGGCCGCGACATCGCCTGCATCACCAGCTGCGACTTGGTCTCCTTGGCGTAGACCGGGGAGTACATGGTGGCGGAGATGGTCTCGGTGTCGATGTCCATCGGAGTCTCGCCCTCGAGCACCGTGGCGACCACGGCTGGCGGTTGCACGCAGGTGGCTGGCAGTGGCGCTGGTACGACCGGCATCGCGGCCGTCGTGGTGCTCGGTATCAGGGTGGCAACCGGTGACTCCTCGCTGTTACCGGGTAACGGCGACAGCGACGGCAACATCACGGATATCGGTGCCATCATCGAACTCGGCTGCTGCTGCGACGTGTTGCTGGCCACGGCAACGGCGGCTACCGCTGCTGCGGACGAGTTGACCAGGCTGGACTCCAGGCTCTGTAGCTCCTCGGCATTGGCGAAGTCCTCTTCGAGTTTGGTCTAAAAAAGAGAAGCATTGGCGCACTCGCGATAAGTATCGTGGTACTCCCTCGTAGCCGGGAAAAAAGATGGCGTTTAAGTGCCCAAAAGAAACCATGCCTTACAGATTTAGTGGAACCATGCGGGGCCAGACACCGATAAAGCAAATCAACAGCCTGCAATAACAAAAACAGAAAACAAGTATCAACCGACACCCTCTTTCTGCTAGCGCGCTAACTTCACCGGCTCACCCGGATCGAACCACATATTTCTCGGCGACAATCGTTATAATTCTTTCTTTTGTGTCTTTATTATATCGACTACATGGTGTTTCTCGTCGTCGTTTAAAAACGCCCGACGACGTTTCAGTTGACGTTGACGAGAGAAAACCACGTATTTCAAGCCACGCTCTTGTTTCTCGGGGCGAGAAATGCTCTCTGAAATTTATGTCTTCTAAGACGCGTGGCTCATCGTAAAAGAACGCAACAATCAACCGATTCTACCCTCATGAGGTGAGACTTGATCGTCGCGCGAGCATCGAGAATAATCCGTGAAGAGGTGAAAATCGAAACTCGCCAATTTCAAAGTAATGACAACCAGACACAATGAGATATCGATATATCGGTACGGGCTATTGAGTTTGGTATCTGGTTTTATATCGAAGGCACACGTAGAGATACCCGCGAGACTCTCTCTCTCTCTCTCTCTCTCTCTCTCTCTCTCTCTCTCTCTCTCTCTCTCTCTCTCTCTCTCTCTCGCGTTATCGCTCGATATCAGAGATATCGGAGAACCACATGAACTGCTCTGCCCGAAAGCGCGAATATTCCTTAGCGTCACGGTTGATTGATCCGTAGGAGTCTCTCAGAGTTATCAAGAATCATTACGACTACAGCAAACGACATTTCTACATCACCTTCTTCTTCGCACAACCCAGCCTCTCAATCAGCCCGATGCCGTGACAATACGCAAGAAATGAAAGTTTCAAAGCACAGTACAAAATAAGAGTAGAGGAGCAATATCATGCACATTGTCTCAAACTAATCGACAGGTCTACTATCACTTCGGCGGAGAGTGAGGAAATCGCGACTGCCGGCACTTTACGTTTGCCACTGCCAAACATACGACAGTTGTCAATCTTGTCTGAGTCGTCCTCACTCCGAAGTTACTTCCTCGAACGAAGCTACTTCTCCGCCTCGGACCACACACGGTCAAGCCAAAACTTTCATTTCGTCGCTGCGCCAGCAATCCTTGTTGCCTCATAAGCAAGGATTGCTCGCGCAGATCAGATCAATTCCTCCGCTCGATTGATCGACTTGGAAACTGATCTTAACAATAGTACGGCAAATGAAGAGAATTCACACCGTGGAGACACTACAGATACCAATTGTCATCGAAAACGACGTGTGTGTAAAGGGATGAGATATATAGAAAGAGAGAGAGAGAGAGAGAGACAGAGAGAGAGAGAGAGAGAAAGAATTGAACAAAATTGGGCCAAAACAATTACGAAGAAACAGAGATATAGACAGATAGACAGAGAGAAAGAGAGAGAGAGAGAGAGAGAGAGAGAGAGAGAGAGAGAGAGAGAGAGAGAGAGAGAGAGAGAGAGAGAGGGAGGGAGGGGGAGAGAGAAAGAGAAGAAACATAGATACTGTGTCTTTACCTTTGGCAGTGGGTACGAGTCTGGCAGCGATAAAACGGGTGGTGAGCTTGGCGCTTCCGGCTCGACAGCGGATACTGGAGTATTGGGAGCATGGGGATTCAAGCTGGACGCGGCGACAGAGGAGACAGTGACGGTGCCGGAGACCGTCATTTTGGTCGCCGCGCGACCACTGCCAGTCGGCTGCTCCTTCGCGGCGCGGTGCTCCGCGAGGAGCTTGTCGAAGGTCTTGCTGCGACCGACGACTGTCCGGCGGAGCGAGACAGTGTGTGCCTTGCATGTGAGCGACCTCGTGCATGGCTTGCCGGTCTCCTCGTTCCAGACGCCGCAGTGCCGGTCGGGGTCGTACTCTCGGTCTTTGAGCAACGAACGGTCCGCTTTAAGCCTCTTCCGCCGAGGCTGGCCGCTGCTGGCGACGACCGGGCTTTTACTAGGACTGGGCGTGCCGACGGAAGAGCCGGTAACGTTGGAAGGGGTCGTCGTTTGGACCGTGATCGACTCGAGGGGCGACCGGGGCGACGAGGAGATCGGCAACGAACCGCTACCAGCGGAAAGGCTCGCCTGCTCGACGTTGCGCTTGACGGCCGTGTGGTTCAGCTTCGTGCTCACGTCGGCTACGGGGATCGTGGGAGCCGGTGTTTGGCTTTTCTTCAGCTTCGACACCTTGCAGTAGGGGATTTTCACGGTCGGTTTCACGGTCGGGGTCGGGGGTGGTGGGAAATTCGCCGTGCCGGAAGGATGACGACTTTCTGTGGTAAAATACAAGGTGCGTGTGTTTAGTCTGATCACCTGGAAATGCGTGTATAACGTCATACTGACGTTTGAAGATTTCTAAAGTATAACGTCAATAGAACACATCTGGAAGTTACTGATACTGATTATCATGTTTGTAAAGTTGTATATCGAATTTCCTCCATATGTCTTAATCTAGGAGATATTTTACTGTACTAGTACTGAGCTCTCTAGTTATTCTTACATCTACATTTCTGATTATGAATGATGCAACACTGTGCGAAAGACTAGATTATGCATCGCAGCAAGAGAATATGTAGATGCACAAGTGAGTATGCCTAGGCTGGTGAAGCACAGATACATACCCATATGTTGAATGAGGGCTTGTGGCTTCACTATGGCATTGCAAATCTCACATACCACTCCGTAGAACAAATCTCTCTCTGGACAGAAGCCATATAGGTCAATATCTGGAAAAGCGTTCAATTGGATTAGCATTATGGCAAGTTTTAGAGAGTGGAAATAACAAGTAGTAAGACTGTTTACATGTATTATCACTTTAAGATGCTACTGATATTGATATGGGCTAGCAAGTACCTTCTACGGACAGACGTGTGACTGAGCTTGACGGTTGGGCATCTGTCTCTTCATCACCTGCAACATGCAATATATTTCTGCAGTAGCGATACAGACTAGGAATAGTAAAACGAATGTCTTAGGAAAGACAGTACATTTTACACACACACACCGTGGTGCACATTGTGTGACCACAATATGACATAACACTCTCTATTGATACATTGTATTCATTGACATAGTCAAGCAGCATTGAACTCCCAAGAGCAGATTTAAACTGGACAAGTAATCTCTCAAAACCCCACTCTCTACTTGAATCATGTTCTATCTTAGACTATCCATTTGAAATCCCTTCCCTGAACTAGGTGAGCCCGACTCTCAAGCAGAAATGTGAAATAAAGGACACAACTTGATGGATGGAACTGAGCTTTATTTCCTTTACATATCTCTTGTATACATGCATAGTCACGAGCGCCGTTACAGAAACTCATTCGGCTCGAGAGAAGGAAACGGACAGGCGACAGACTGTCTCTCGTGAAAAGAACGCGATGTGAGTCTAAAAGGCGACCCGCTCACGACGAGTCACTTGTATACGCGAGTGCGTAATATATGATGTTGACAGCCGCCGACATGATTCCGCGACCCTCTGTGTCTGTCAACATCAAAATGTACGCTCGCGAAATTACATAATTATCAGTCCTGAAAATCATTCCCGAAAATTCGCTGAGGCGGATAACGGCGCAGACAGGCCGTCGCCGCCGCCGCCGTCGTCGTCGTCGTCGTCGTCGTCGTCGTCACCGCCATCGTCATCGCCATCGCCGCTACCATCGCTCTCATCGCTCCCCTCGTGCTCGCAGATACATCATCATTCACCACCACACACAACGACACCCCTTCGACATCACCGCCCCCCCCCTGCGCGCGCTCGCGCGCCCCCGCCCGCGTGTCGCGCTGCCGTTCGTCGGCCGGACAAAGGAGCGTCGAAGTGAGGTTAGGTACACGGCGCCCTCCGACGCCCGTCGCCGTCGCGGTCGCGGCCAAGGCGGCGGCGGCGGACGTGCGGGGTGGCGTCGCGATGGGCAGATTGAGCGCACTTACTCAGCGGCTTGTCCCGTCCGATTCTTTCGATCCAGCTGGACCACGGCTGGCCGTGAAAGAATGTTGGGCTGTCACTTCCCGACATTGCCAGTGGCGCTCGCGTTCTCAGTGAAACACGGCGCTGTCTCGCGTGTATATAGCGTGGCGAGAGTGTTTTTTCGGGGACCGCCGGCGGACTGCTTGGACTGTCAGGTGCGACTCGACGCGCTACCACGCTCTCGCTCTCGCTCTCGCTCTCTCTCTCCCTCTTTCCTTCGCTCTCACCGCGTGTGCGTACCGCGCCACGGCCAGACGCATTTGTCGCCTCTCCTCCTCGCTCGCTCGCTCGCTCGATTCCTCCCTCACCGTGCGTCCTCCGTTGAACCGAGCACGCGTCGTCGTCGTCGTCGTCGTTGTCGTCGTCGTCGCCGTCGTCGTCGCCGTCGTCGTCGTCGTCGTCGTCACCGTCGTCGTTGTTGCGAGGGAGAGAGAGAAAGAGAGAGAGAGAGAGAGACGCGTCTTCTCAGACGTGGGTCTCGTCTGGCATCTTGTCGCGCGTTCGGGTCAACAAGCCGCCGTTTCACCACGACGTTCTCGCGCGATCGAGTCGCCGTCCCGTCGTCGTTTCCGCGTGGCTTCTCTCTGCCACCAGTGCACGCACGCACACACACACACACATACATACACACGGACGCACCGCCGCGTCCTGCACGCGCGCACGGCGAACACTGCAGATCTGCGCGCCGGTATTGGCCACCGGTGACTGACGTCAGCGGCTGCCGCCGCCACGGACAACGTGCGCAGCGCACGCGGCCAATCGCCGGACAGTTGCGCAAAATGATGCGCGTGGGACATTCGCGTGTTGGCTGTGCAGCGTGTCGGACATGCGGCAGCCTCCACCGAGCTGATCCGCGCTGCGAGGCTCTGCTGCTGCTGCTGAGTGATTGTTTCTTTTCGATGGGGAACGACGCTCGATATACAGGCTGTCTCAGAAATACCGGACCCCCCGGGATAACTTTGCAGGATCAAATTTTCGTGAAAAACTTTAAGCACAAAGGTTGCAGGAAATCGAGTAACGGACTTGATGATGACCTTGAATTTGACCTTGGCCATGACGTCCCAGGTCATTTGGAGGTCAACTTGAAAAATTTAAATGGGAAGCCCTATTTTTTATTACACTGCTTTTTGCTACCAATTAATTTGAACAACTTTTGTCTAAAACATTTTTTTATTTGCCTAATATTTTTTGAGATATTTGAGGAAAGCTTGATAACTTTTTCAATATGTATTCAATACTTACGATATCTGGCTAACTATTTGTCGGAAGAGAAAGTGGTACGAGACTTTCTTGCTTTATTTAGTCTGAAGAATATATCGTTACAGTAGTGCCGTGATTTTTGTCAATTTGATGATTTCGAAATTTCCAAAAGTCGTAATTTCCAAAAGTTGTAACAATATATTCTTGAGATTAAATAAAGCAAGAAAGTCTAGTACCACTTTTTCTTCCGACAAATAGTTCGCGAGGTATCGCAAGTTGAATATTGAAAAAGTCATCAAGTTCTCCTCAAATATTTCAAAAAATATTAGACAAATAAAAAAATGTTTCAGACAAAAGTTGTTCAAATTAATTGGTAGAAAAAAAAAAAAACAGTGTAATAAAAAAATTGGGGTTCCCATTAAAATTTTTCAAGTTGACCTCCAAATGACCTTGAACGTCGTGGCCAAAATCAAATTCAAGGCCACCATCGAGTCCGTTACTCGATTCCCTCCAACATTTGTATTCAAAGATTTTCATGAAAATTTGACCCTGCAAAGTTATCCGGGGGGTCCGGTATTTTTTAGACACCCTGTATATCGATGATACGCGCATCATCTCTCGTCAGAAGAAGGCTCGCGCTAAGGAAGGCGACCGAGCTGGTGAATTTTAATCATCGACATGAATGATGAAGCGGACTGTTGAATGTAAACATGAAGCCTCATCATCGCTACGACCCGACGATTCACGACGGTGCGCAGAACGGTGGATCTGATTAAAGTTTCCTTACGATAATTAGTCTTACATCGATATTTATTCCATCAATAGCATCATGTGTATAATCTTGTGTATAATTTTCGGTTTTTTTCTCGTATAAAAATCTCGGCGAGACTCTCCCGTTACGAAGGCACGGTGGTTATCGCGCTGCCACGTAAGACCGTCCGTTTGATGACTTTCGCTTCGATCGCGTCCGAGTGCTTGGCTTATTATCGCCAAGGGACCCGGGGATCGATATTATAATCCTGAATGACGACTCTTCGAGAGAGAAAGAGAGAAAAAGAACGCCCCGAACGTCATCCCGGCCTGAGAAGCCGACTCTTGACTAGGAATAAACCGCTTTTGCGAGCGGCGACGAGTAACGACGCGCGCGCGCGCGCGCGCATGCGCGCACGCATCTTATCCTATTGTTAAAGGAGAAATGCTTAAATTTACAGTCTTGTCAGTGGCCGATTCGCAAACAGTCCACAGTCTTAGCCCGCGAAGAACGATCTCGGATTTGGTTGCACCTGCGCCACTTGGGCATTGGCGCTTACGTCACCGCGATGCGCCTGAATAGCCTGCCAGTTGATGTACCAGAAGGGCTGCTTCTCCCTCGGCCAGGTCTTGATCCTGTTCACCAGGTCGACGTCACCGTGAGCGTCCACCGGTAGGTCAGCCGGGTTTATCGTGGTGGACGTCGTCGTCGGGAATGCCGTGATGACGTTGCTGCCGCTGCTCCCGTCGATCCGATTCGACAAGCCGACATCAGGACTACTGAAGCCTGTTGCTCCCTGAGACCCTTGGGGTCCTTGTGCTGCTTGGACCGTTTGTCCTGGATGATATCCTTGGACCGTTTGTCCTGGATGATATCCTTGGACCGTTTGTCCTGGATGATATCCTTGGACCGTTTGTCCTGGTTGGTACGTGTCAGCCGTCAGGCTCGGTTGGTATGTTTGTACTGGTTGGACTCCTATGTTGGATTGGATTGTTGGAATTGGCTGGGACGCTGTTGGTTGAACTCCTACGTTAGACTGGCCTGGTTGGATCTCTTGACCTGCTTGGACAGCTTGACCTGATTGAGCCGCTTGTTCTACTGCCAATCGCTCGTCAATGTATTGCGGAAGAACCATCGGTAACCGGTTGCTGCTGCCGGCATGCCACGGTCGTTGCGAGTTCACCAGGCAAAGCACGGCGGAGAAGAGTACGGTGTACTTGAACTGGAATGAAAAGTAATCGCGATGTCAAAGGAGCGAGCAACAATACGGACCTTGAGGAGTCGTGAGATTCTCGCATTTCCGTCGAGCGGTCTTGAACTGTTTGGAAAACGCGATCGTATACACACGTCAGGATATCGTCGTCACATTTCGTGAAGGACGATCGAGTCTCGTTACGTTTGTAGCTAACAGCGTCTCAATTGGAAAGGTCAACCATCTATTAATAATAAGTATAAAGCAGCTGTTAAAAATCAATCCAAGATGAACCGCGACTCGTCAAGGAGTTACCCGTTAAAGACGTTGGGGAGTTTTTGCAATATCGTCTCTCAGATTTACGGTAAACGTAAATAATGGATGCTAATAGAGAGTTTTTGCAATACCGTCTCTCAGATACGGTAAACGTCGATCGTGAACGTTATTCGCTCAGAAACAACATCGCAATGTACGCGACCGATAGCATTCACGATCAATGTTTACGGTATCTGAGAGACGGTATTGCAAAAACTCCCTATTGGTCGCGTGCATCGCGACGTTATTTCTGAGCGAATAACGTTCACGCTCAACCTTTGCCGTATCTGAGAGACGATACCAGAGAGTTTTTGCAATACCGTCTCTCAGATACGGTAAACGTTGGTCGTGAATGCTATCGGTCGCGTACATCGCGACGTTATTCTCGAGCGAATGACGTTCACGCGAACTTTACGTTTACCGTATCTGAGAGACGATATTGCAAAAACTCCCCGTTCGTCGATCGCGGATAAGGATGTCTGTGATGAGAGAACCAGAGAGATGCGTCGAAGGAGAGCTCTACTCACCATGATTGTCGAGAAGTGTATCGAAGTGTGTGTTACGACGAGCTCGCTGGAGAGACACGACGAATTTCACTGGCGAGATGCGAGAGAGGTGCGCGCCGTGCGACGTTTTCACCGTTCGAGTCTCAAGTGCTGCTGCGACCAAGCGTTTCTTCTCCTATATAAATCGCCGTCCCACACCGCGATCCCCACCGCCAGGCGCGCGTCACGGACGAGTCATGGGACTGTGGGAAACTTGGCCGCAAGTTCCCCCGCCGCGGAATTCGCGATATCTCGCGAGACGCGGGTACTCGAGAAGCGACCCGCGCGCATCTCCGGATAAGAGAGTCTCATTCGTCGCGATTGCGCGCCCGCCCGAGTTTCGCGTGTGGCCAGATAAATCCGCTCTCTCTCTCTCTCTCTCTCTCTCTCTCTCTCTCTTTCTGTCTCTCCCTCTTTCTCTCTCTCTGTTTGCCTTGCCGATGATAAACCTTACGTCGTCATCGGGTCTTTCGATCTCGGCTCGCCCTTGTGCGCAAACAAGCCCCGCAAGACTTGCGAACGAATCTGCGCTAGGCAAAGAAATTTAGTATCTCTAACAAAACTGTTTAGTTGAGGCATTTTTCAAATGGCAACCAAATATCTTGTTTTATATAAGAAAATATTCAGTTGTATCAACTAAATATATTTTTCTGCTTTGTTCCCTGGACCAGATAATTTTCTTCTTAGACTTCATACGTAAAAATTAAGCGTTTTAGTAATTTTATCCATAAAAATTACATAATAATGAAAAGATTATTTTACATAAACTAAAATAATGTCCAGTGGATACTATTTTGTCTTTCTGTGCACTAGAATTTAGATTTTATATATATTAAGAAAAAATTATAGTATTTTTAACAAAATTCATATAGTTAAAGCTTGCTTTGATTGCTGTGACAAAAGTATTGCGTTATACGAACAAACCATCATCAAACAAGATATTTCTTTACAGAAACTAAACAGTTTTGTTGGGCATATTTTAATCAAATTACTTTGTTGGTACAACAAAATTTTGGTTCACGCAACAATACATTTTTCCTATGTGTGCTGAAACGAAGATTTTACGATTAATCCCGATCGACTCAGCGTAATCGCTGGCAGATCGTGACATAGGGATGCCGATTTTAAATCGATTTAATCGAAGATCGATTAAACGGAGCCTAAACGATCGATTCCAAATCGATTTTCTGGAGCTGAATCGATTCAAGGATCGATCCTGTAAATTCTGAAAATCGCCAACACGATTTTTTCAATTTCTACTAGTAATATAGTTTTTTTCTTAATTCTTTGCAGTTGTAATATTTGAGCTCACTTAATGGCTGCACGATGCACATTACGTTGCCTTTAAGCCGATGGGCGAAAATTTTCAGCGGAACGGAACGCGCGAACCAAACACAGCCACTCCATACAATAGTATATATATATACATATATACATATATATATGTATATGCATATAATAATAGTAAACGTGATTTCTTATTTAATAACGTTTAAGAACTCTTGATTGATGTTTAATCAAACTAATTAAATCCTTAGCATAAGGATTTAAAGATCTTTTTCTATCTTGTTGCGGCCACACACAATACAACCAACAGAATACCATCTGTTTAATCTGTTTAATTCATACTAAACTTTATATGAATTACACGAGGTCTACTTTAGAGTGTAGAAATTTGTCAGATAATAGTATACTTTAATGAGTGGTTCACTTTTTTACATGCATACCGATTCAAGTCGATTTTCTGAAATCGATTTTTTACAAACCGATTTTTCAAAGATCGATTTTTTTCTTCGTGATTCGAATCGATCTTTAAAAGTCGGCCTGTTTGAAAAAAAATCGGCATCCCTGTCATGACAGCGGTTAACTCGCGCGCGTGACGTCGTTGCTGAGACCTTAAAGTATGCGACAGAGTCCAACAGCTCGCCGACAACTTTGTTAATGTTTTGCAGGGTCGCTCTTCAACAACGCCTCTCAATCGGAGGTGAGTCATAAGAAGGTGACACCGTTATGGATCTCTGCCGACTCGAGTTGAAATTTACGTGGCGGAGCTTCACGTCAGAGAAAGAGAGAGAGAGAGAGAGAGAGAGAGAGAAAAAGAGAAGGAGATGCTTGATGGAGCGTCGAAGAAAACGGGTTAGGAATCATGTCGTCGCTGAGAGCGGCGAACATTCACACGTGCTTGGCATTCGAAAGTTCAGCGTTAAATTCGGCCACGAGCCTCGTAAAGGCTTCCGTAATGTGAGTCGGTTAATGTTTACAACGCGACCGTTAACGCATGCAGGATGCGGTGGAGCCTTCCGCAAGTCATCCTTCGCGATTATACCGTTATGAGGTATTTATGCGGCACTCCGATAAATATTTATTATGAAAGGATGAGAGCAAATGAGGGAAATTGCACGTTGACGTGTCGCTATTACCGCTTGCTTTTCCCTCAACGCGATAAGAGGTTCCTGCAAATTGCGTCTTTTATTTCCCCTCACTGCGGACAGTCTGTGTTATTCTCGTTCATGATTCCGACGATGTGCGCGCGTGTGTGCGTGTGTCGTGCGTGGGAATTTACAGTCCCCAATCAGCCGTCGAATGCGAACACACTGGATGAAGTCAGCTTCCAGCTGCGAGCCCGAAAGATCGTCACCATCGAGTCGCGCGAACCGCGAAACTGCAATGTCAGCGTCGCCGATGAATTTCATGCTTTTTCAGTCTGGTCTCGGCGCGTTACGCGCGCGGCCATATTTATCGCGGTGTTTCATCGCGGGTTTAATGAGAGACGTGGATCGTACAATCAATCTCCCTTTCTTTCCTCTTAAATCGCGCGAGGAGCGTCTCTTTCGAGAGACGATGAAGATGCGAATTACTCGACGCCGACGCGGACGTACGTAAGAGAGACGGAGAGAGGGAGAGAGAGAGAGAGAGAAAGAAATATTCGATAAAAAATCGCAATTTCGCAGTAATCGTCAGGGAGAAGAAATATCGCTTTGAAAAGAACGTTATCGCGCGCGCGCGAGATATCGTGAACCCGCGAGGACCTTTGGATGTCTCTCCCGGTGATTTACTCCTTTGCAGTCCTCGCTGCTGGGCGTTGAATGTTACACGTTGACGACAACACGGCGATATGAAACGGAAGATAAGCGGTCACGCGAAGCGCCGGCCGATTGCGAAAATTGGACGCGAGCTAAGGTCACGCCGATGTAATCGTCGCGTCTACGTGTTTGCGTGCAACAATAAAAACAAGCCGCCGCAACGGAACGATTTTATTTCGATATTTTCGTATCTGCTTTCCTGAATTATGTTATTTTCTCGCAAATGCTTGCGATCGCATCGCGAGACGTCAGCGTCTCGCGATAACGGAGGCGGTCTCGACAGGTAACTGCGACATTCTCGCCGGCCTTATTTTACGAAGCATAAATTATAAACACGCGTGGAATGAATAAACCCGTCGGCGTAACTGGATTCTCTGTTGCCTGGGAGAAATAGAGAAAGTACCAGAGTGAAATAGTGCCAACACAGGCAAAAACTAGGAAACAGGGAAATGAGTGGAAAAGTCGATCGTAGAGGGCCGGAAAGACAAAAGGTTCTCAACCGGTCAAATGTGTTTCCGTATTGCCTAAACTCGACTTTCAGAAACTCAGCTGGCCGAACTTTTCTTCGGTCATAATACGTAATACGTCGTACTTCTTAACAGTAAACAGATATTTCTTAACGTAAACAACAGACCTTCTCTCGTCGATCTGCGAAAAAATATCTCTCCGCTTGCCCAGATCGGGACTTTTTCTTTTTTCTCTGTAGATTGCGGATTGCAAACGTGGACTCCTGCTGTGTGTGTGGAAGATATATTATGTCATTGTTGTTGTAAACAACGCGTTAATCGCCCGCAGCTGGCACAAGGCAGCTGCGCTGCCTGTCGAGGAACTCGCGCGGAACGCGGTAATCGAGAGACGAGAATAACAGGACACAATTATAGAAGCAATTAATGCATTTTCCTCGCTGGGGAATTTTCCGGGAAGTGAATGCACCCGGTGGTTTTCCCGCTCGTATTCCGAGCTCTTATCGCAGGGCGATGATTTTCACGCTGCGCTACGTGCCGCATCCCACGCGCGCGCAATACGAAGAGAGACTTTTTTCTTGTCGTCCTGTCAGCGAGATACGCGCGCGCTCCTGTTATTCACATTGAAAGGACCACCGCTTACGCCAAATAATCGCCTCGGCCGGAATTCTGGCTCCTCCGTCGGCGTATCAGCGGGAATACCGAGAGGTAAGCTGCTGTCACGTGCAGCCGCGGCGATGACTCGGCGAAAATTTAAACGACCGGGCCCGATCCCGATATTCATCCTTTGCATCCCTCGCGAATAAACTCGTTTCGCTCTGCACGATCCGTCGATAAAATGAGAGACATTTTCTACTGCAAAATGTGTCAGCCCGGAATGTGTTTCTTCCCGTATAATTCTATCGCAACTAATAGCTACGTCAGGATATCGGAAGGAACACTCGCTTGATCTTCTCGTGAGATTTCACTTTAACCCTTTCACTGCTGAATTAACCTCCCTTGAGAAAATTATGAAAATATTTGGTAGTCCTACGTTTTTCGGGTCGCTCATTACGAATCTAAAGTCAGATTTGCAAAATTCAATATGGCGATCAGGATGTGCAAAATTAATGAAAATTCCAATTATTATTGATGGTGTATGGGTTTTTCGGGTCGCTGATTACGAATCTGAAGTCAGATTTACCGAATTCAAAATGGCGGAATGTATGTGGGAAAATGTTCAATACTGCATATTTATACTTACTAAAGATTAAACATTCATTCTTGAATAAAATAATATTGACAGTACGCATAAGATGGAGATACAGAATGAAAAAAACTAGGAAAGTAGAGCTAAAAAAAGGTGCAACAAAATCAAATTTCGGCCGTCTTCTTGTAGAAATATTTGTTTATAAAAAAAATCTAACCTGCAAAAAGGTACTGAAAAAAATATATGTTTTTGTACAACTTCAGAAAAATATTTGGTGAAAATTTCAGACCTCTACATTCAATACTCTGCGAGGAGTCGATTTTTCCCTAAAGAAAGCATTTTCTTCAACTTTGATTTGTTATAAATAATGAAAAATGAATAATTGGGTGTAAAAACCTATTGGAGCACATATGTTGAACAACTGTTCAGTTATCTGGAAAAAACTCAAATCCCCGATTAGTTCTTCAAAATTATGTGATTTACAACGCAAAATTGAATCAAGAGAAGGTGGGAAGTATATACTTCTCACTAACAGTGAAAGGCTTATCGCATTCACGGAGATGCGAAAGAATTATTTCTGCAAAATCTAAGAAATCCATCGTCCCTGCACGACCTCTTCACTGATTCATTAGAGTAAACTTCCTGCAGCACTCACGTCGAGTGTGCGGCTTTGATAACGAATCGGAATTACCGTAATAAAACGTCGATTATAGTTCAATTTCCAAGAGCATAGGTTCAGTCCGCGTTATCACAAAGAATGACGCTACAAAGTTTCCGGCTGGCTGTGAATCGACGCTTCTGGCCTCGTCGAGTCCTTCCACGGGAGGTTAGGCATTCGTGGCGCGATACGACTAACAACCGCTGGCACGCATCATTAATACTGCAATTAGCCTGAAATGACGGGTCATTCATGCTCCGAGTTGCTTCGAACCTATCGTGGTTTCTTCCGAAGCCATTAGATCGGCTCTCCGCGGCGATTCCTTGTAAGTCGCCTGCTCCTTCGTGCTCGCGCATCTAATTGCGCGACGGTGTTTTTCATGATTTTCTGTTCCCTCTGCTCATTCGCGCGCGCTAAACACGCGCTTGTAAAACGCGTCGCAGAAGCAGAGCTACAGCCGAAGCGTGAGTACGCGCGCCTCGCTCTCTTGTGACCCTGACGGGGATCAGATCGCGCCGCAGGACCAGGTGGGGATTAAAGGCTGCTCCGCTGCGGGTTTATGGGGGAATGGCTCCGATACACACACGCACACACGCACGTCGTGGGTTTTTCCCGAGTCGTTCGGAGCAATCGCGTCTGATAAATTTCACTGCGGGCTCTCGTCCGCCGCGTGCGTGCGTCTCCCGTTAACGCGACGACGAAGCGGAATCTCACACGTGAGACGGAATTTCGCCAAGTCGCCGCGCGCGTGATATTTGGCCGGCCCGGTGCGTGCCGGCGGCCGACGAAGGAGCGGAGAAATGATTCCCGGAATATCTGCGATGCAACGCTCTCGCAGGTCGTCAGACGGGTCGCGTGCGCCATCGTGATGACGGTGAATGAATTCTGGCGCGTCCAGCAGCAGCACTATCGTCATTGGGATAATCTGCGCGTCAGACGCGCGTGGACTTGAATCGGCCGGTTCGCTCGGCGAAAGAAAAAAAAACGATGATCTTTGATATGTAGATCGGGACAAGACAACTGCGCGTTTGGAAAGTCACGGCGCGGCGAGAGCTCGTTAGCTCCTCGCCGCTCCGCCGCCGCGCTGCAGCTGCACTTTTCGCAGCTAAGGCGAGAAAATGTCCGCAGCTGTAATCGCGTAGCAAAGGAAGTACCGCGGTGTCGGGGAGGGGGGAAGGGGGGAACTATTTTCCTGGCGAGTGTTGTTACAGTGTCAGAGATAACAACGCGATACAACGGATGTATCGTAACTGCCGCGCTTTTGGCGGAGCAACGAGAAGCTACGGGCTGCGGCCGACGATAACCGTAATCATAATGACGTTGAGCAATCTCCTCGCCCAGTCACGTGCACTTGCGATTTGCGCGTGAATCGAAATCCGTGGCGAGATCGCCGATCGGAAGAAGAAGGAAGGGAGACGCGGCCGGCCGTTCGAGGCCGGTCGCTGAAATCGCTCGCGCGCGATACAATTCGCGAGGCGTGCTCCTCTTTTTCTTGCCTGCCGCCGCGCCGCGCGCCGGTCGCCCGGGGCGAAAATCACGACGCAGAATCCGCCGGATAAGGAAACGCGCTGGGAACCAGTTTAGTCGCTAGCACCTTCATCACGTCGCTCTCGCGAGTATGGTAATCCGTCATCTCTCGCGATAAGCGGCGCGCGATCTTAACGACCTGGCCGCCGCATGGTGGTCGTCGGCTGATCGACGCTGTATCATCGCCGTATCTCGCTAATTTACGTGTTAAGCGCGAACAAATTGCGCTGTGACAAATTGCGCATGCAGCCGATAAAGAGAAGAAGAAAGAGATCCGAAAGAGAGACGAGAGATAACGAATACGAACGCAACGCAAATTGCATTTACTTAGCATCTCTTTAGTGACTCAAAGCTCGTGCTGAGCATCGAAGCGAATTCAACGGTTCGCAATGGTCTCTTAAAAAATAAAAAAAAAATAAAAAAAATAGAAAAAGCACATCGAATTTTAAAGAGATGGAAAAATGTCGCGAAAAGTCCCGAGATACGCACGACTTGAGCGAAATATTGAAACGGCAGCATCCACTTGCGCAGCTGGAAAGTACGGGTGGATATTGATGCACCCGCATGTCCTGTTCTCGCGTTGATAGTTTCTCCCCTGAACTGAATCGTGTCACTTTTCATCATGACGGTACATTGCGACATTCGCGTAAATAGGAGATTGTTTCCGTTTGCGAACTTTGACATTTGGATTTTTCAGGAGGACGCACGCCCACCTTCGCGACCGCACGTGGCAGTCAGACCTCGAGGCAGGACCTCGAGGCGTGAGAGAATTGTTCGCGTCGTCCTGGAGCGGCAGGTCCTCCACTATTTATTTGGTTCGATAAGTCTCGAAGGAAACCGTCCGAGGACGTCAGTCCTTCCTGGGACGAAATGGCACGCTATGATCTCGCCAGGCAGGAGGATCTCGCGCTATCCTCGAATTCAAACAAACAAACGCGCGAAGTGAAAAGGAGCATGACGAATGCAAGCATTCTTCGAGTCCCCGTGCCAGGCACGACGAAACTGGTCGAGACAACGTTATATAAGAGAGCGATTATCTCCAATTCATTTATCGATTCTAGTTCCTCGCACTGAGCGCGCGCGCGCGCGCGCGTTTACGACCGCCGGCGCGGGCGTTTCTCCGCGCGAAACGTCCTCCGGAAATTTTCCGTAAAATCCCGGGAGAATCAGCGCGCACGTTCACGCTCACGTTTTCCCATCCGAAAAGTTTTGCATTTTTTAAACTGGTTCTCAACGGGGGTTGCCAAGCGGGAGGATCCCATCCTCGCTATTTCAGTAGTCCTCGTCGTTTAAATAATTTATTGAGCCCATCGATTAATCGATAACGTATTGGGAGAGACAGAGAGAGAGAGAGAGAGAGAGAGAGAGAGAGAGAGAGAGAGAGAGAGGGGCCGATACGAGTCTATATATAAATCTCCGTCAGCCGCGTTATTAGTAGCCGCCTATTGCCAACAGAGTCTTTTTCATCTTGTCTGCACAAACTCGTAAACAGGAAAAACGCTCGATTTTTCTTTCTTTTTATCTTACGCATTATCTACGTAGGCACTCTCTCGATTTCCCGGAAATCGTCCAAGGAAGCCGCCGCGATCACCGACCGCGGGAAAAGGCGCGCGGTGTTTCTAGTTCGACGGCCGCACCAGGAGATGGCCGTACTCATTTCGGAGCAGAAGCACGGCGCGTTGTGCGAAAGATCGCGCAATGGCGCCCGGTCGAGAAGGACTCGCGTCTCCCGCGAGGACGAAGGCGCCTTGCGATGAGATTCAAAGTGGCGCGCGATGCCTCGCCATTTCGAAGTCGACGAAGCGGCGAGATTTTCCAGGCTGCTCGGCGCGTGGCTGAGGTAAGAATCGCGAGTGACGAAGAGCGAGAGGAAACAAGACAAACATGAAGAGAGAATTTTCTTCTTCAGGCTGTCCTCTACCCAGAGAGAGATCCGTTCTATTATGTCACACTGCGGGGAACGACACACTGTCGCTGTCTTCGGCGACAGGTATAAAGGCGGGGCCGAACCCGCCTTTATCATTGTATGTACAATATGACCTACAGCTTTCGGGGAGCGGGAGGGTTGACAAAGCCCGTTGTCGAGCCAGGGTCTCTTCGTTGCTAACAGACCTGGATTATATGTAGCCGACGCGGCAACTGCTCGGCGTTTTTCGAGAGACGGTATTTCCGTTCGCGAGCCTGAGGGATCAACGGACTCCTTCGAAACGAAAGCCGCGATCCGATATTTGTGAGGATTTCTTTCTTCACAGTAGGCACGCGTTTGTTTCCTCGGAAGGTAAGGAGAATAAGATCTCGCGAAATCGCACGCGACGTGTATGTTAGAGTTATGTTTTATATATCGCATATGTGTTTTGTATTACGTATTTATTTACATACACGCAAACAGAAACTCGAGTCGAGGAAGTCGTCAAGTCGAGTAGAGAAAAATCCTCCGTCTCCTTCTCTGTAAAATCTACCGCGCTAATTACCGAAATGTAATAACGAGAGAGAGAGAGAGAGAGAGAGAGAGAGAGAGAGAGAGAGAGAGAGAGAGAGAGAGAGAGAATTGATCGGTCAATGCGCGGTGGGACGAGCTCTCCGAGCGGAGTCTGAAAATCCATCGACGTCTTCTCTCGACGGAGCGATATTGTCATTTGGCTCGCCTAGAAAACTTTGGCAATCTTGAGCGCACTTCCGAAAATTTCACGCGGATAGAAATTACCCCGAGCGCGTTTTTAGGACTTGTGGACTACGTGTGACGGCGTCCCATGTTAGACTGTTCGCGACTACACCGACGAATTTAACGCACCCTGAAGATCCACGTGTCGTCGGCAGCCAGCAACGACTGCGAAAGCGGTTGCGAGGAGTTAGCGAATTTTTTCAACGAGCAGTGAAGCCGCAAGCAGCATGGACTCTTACTACGTGATACCATTTTTCCTAGGTCAGTCGTATCTCCGATTAATCCGAGCGAAAAAGAAAAAATAAACCAACAAACAAAAAACGAATTGCCAAGACAGAGTGGAAAAAAGAGAAATCAGGAATGTATCGAAAGGTGCAATAAATCGTTGCGATAAATATCGCTCGATATCGGTTTCGTATGCTGTCTTACTGCATGATACCATTTTCCTTAGATTAATCGTATTTATCTCTAATTCTCTCATAATTAATCCGATCGAATATCTCTAATTAATCCGATCGAAGAAGAAAAAATAAACCGAAAGAAATGAAAACGAATCACAAAGGCAGAATAAAGAAAAAAAAAAAAGAAAAGAAACCAGGAATGCATCGATGGGTGCAATTTCATTGCGATAAATATCGTTCGATATCGGTGTTGTATGCTGTCTTACTGCATGATACCATTTTCCTTAGATCAGTCGCGTCCCCAATTAACCCCTTGACATACAAATAAAACGGAATTTGATGCGCTTGAAAAATACTATTTAATTTGGCTCAACTGAACTCAGTTATGTGTAAGCTTAGAAACAGAACATTTTATTTTGAAATCTGCATCGCTACATAACATTTAATCAGGTTGATGTATAATGTTAATGGACAATAATTAAGTAACATTATAATGAGCATTCGAAACAAAACAGAATCGACGCACGATTCTCGGCGTCTCCGCCGGAGACAGTTCCTGACGTCTCGGAGACGTCAAAGTCTACAATGGCACATGAAACGAATGACGTCTCCCAGACGTCATTATATGTCAAGGGGTTAATCCCATCTGGAGAGAAAAAAACTAAATAAAAAGAAAAAAAAAAAAACGAACCACGAGGGCAAAGTAGAAAACAAAGATAGACCAGAAATAACGAAGGGTGCGATCTCGTAGCAATAAATATCCTTCGGCCAATCTTTTCCAGCCGTCCACATGCCCGAGTCCCTGTACGACGACGACGTGAGCCCCGAGTACACGTTTGAAGCGCGTTTCACGGCGACGACCTACGAGAAACAATCGCAGCCCAATGAGACATCCTTGGATCCTCATTCCTCCGGAACAGCGCAGGCCAAAGAGATCCTCAAGAGCAGGCACACCCTGACGCTGAAAATCAAGTGTCGGACATACACGCTAAACGCGCTGTTTTGTCACAAGTCGAGTCACAAGCAGCAGCCGAGCGAAGCGGAAACTCTAGAGTGGCTCGAGGACAACTACAGAAAGACTATCTTCCAGGTCAGATTTAACGACAGCGGCACGATCGACTACGCTATCGAGAAGTCGGACAACGATACCGAGCAGTTCCTGTTAAACATGTACCGCTCTATCGGCACTCAGCTGAGCATCGGCGCTAAAATAGACTTTAATCGGGAGAACATGATTTTCAAAACGAGGGAACGCTCCGTCATCGGCACGTGCCCTACGGTCTTCAAGATCAAGCGCCAGCGGACTGTCAAGAACGTGACACGCGTGCTGGAGAAGGACATGTCGCTGTCGCTGCCCGACGATTACGACTTGAAGGAGAACGAAGTGATACGCGTCTTCAAATGGAGGAACGTACCGTCTTGCTACGAGACGGTAATTTACATGTTCGGCAGTATTTTCTGGAGAGAGTTCTACTCCAAGTACATCGAGAAAAATCCAGTGAGTATCCCGCAATTGAATTGTCGCATTAACGCGCGTTATCGTCGGAGGGGGAGGAGGGGGGGAGGAGGCGCGCAGGAGCGACGGTTGCCGCGACGATCTCCATCCCGTTGAACCGTCGATTAATTAGTGCGACTTGCGCGACTTTATTGACGTTAATTACTGCAGAATTATGAAAGGCGTGTAATTATTATAGTATTGATTATAGTATTGATTATAGTATATTGATCGACGTAACTAATATTAACTGAATAATTTATGAGAGATGAATAAATTCGAGAGATAAGTGATCTCGTTTGCCTACCAGCGTCGCGCATTTCTCACCTCAAGCTTATTTCCGCGGGAAATCTCCAATTTCGAGCGCAATTGGACGAAGTAACTGCGTTTTGATCGCCCGCGAACTGATGACTCGCGTCCGTTTGTTGCAGGTGTCGTCGCAAAGTGTCATGACACTGTCCAAGCACAATTTTCTATCCAAAACTCAAAACATTTTTCACTTGTATGACAAGCATTTGAGGGTCGGCAGCGCTACGGAAGATATTGAAGTTGTTTTAAAGTCGATAAAGTATCGAGAAGAATACGCGCAGAAGATCTTGCTCCGTCCCCTCATAGCGGGTGTGGTGGCGAATGAGTGGCATAAAACATCAAATTTTTAAGTTATGACGATATATGCGACTGTTTGTTATTCCGGACAATATATAAGAATTTCTACTTTTACGAATAAACTGACAATTGCGTGACGAAATAACTGAATTTTATCTTTCATGCACGATTGATTCCACTACGCATTAGAAACATTAAAATTTAAAACATGCTTCAACTTGAAAATATTAATGAATCTGAATGTTTGAATTTGGGAAATATAAAAAAAAAAGCACCGAAAACTTAAAACTTTTTTAATTTTAAACAACAAAATATTCATTTTTGAATCACATAAATACTTGATATCTACACGATCATATCTACACTAGTCTTTCAATGACTGTCATTAACTGCGAAACGATACGCATATCAGAGGTTTCCTTTTTATAAATAAACACGAAAAAGAATTAATAATCTTTTCGGAATGACTGGATGACTTTACCTGCTTATTTAATTTTTTTTTTTCATAGAATCATCAAGTAATGAATTCTCATTGTCATTAATTTAGTAGACATATGTTAAAGTTAAAGTATAATTAAAGCTGAATTAAATCAAAGAGGTGAAAACCATTAAAGTTCAGTTGAAGATATAATTATAAATGTCTCATGTATCCATCGTGTAACTAGAAAAGTGTTGCCGCTGCCTCAATTGTTATTGAAATATCTGTCGCGGTCAGAAGCTATAAATTAAAGCGATCTACTGAAGTTAACCTTCGTCTGTGCTGTGTTTATACTTCTTATAATTAAAGACGGAATTTACATAAACGACGGCAGACGCCCTTGTCTGACAAGGACACTTTCGCTCGATTTCCGTTCGACTTTCATCTTCGAGCTAGTCGAGACTTAATCAGATTTAAAATCCGGCGAGAATCAGATTACGCAACGTAAAGAGAGACCCACACACGTAATCGTGAAATTCGAAAATACATCATACCGTGAGTTAACTCAACGACAGAGAGAAAGGAAGAGAGAGAGAGAAAGAAGAGCCTTTCTAGCGCTACACAAAACAGACGTTGGTGAGAACGAGAAGCAATAGCATCCAATTTCTTGTATTTTCCATCTCATCTATTTTATTCCTGAAGTTTCAGCTGCCTAGAGCGATAGAGGAGTGAAAGTACAGAGTACGCAGATACCCGGGGAACAGAAAGAGATGCAGATTCTCACTGTAGTGCCGTTTCTCATAGGTGAGTTGCGTCTCCAGGACGATTCGACGAGGATCTTTTATTATCGCGAACGATAATATCTGTTAAGATTACAAAACACAGATAATATATCTGGAACAGTGTAACTTTGCGGAATATTGCTCGAAAACCTTAAACACCCGCATCTAGCCGTTATGAGGCGCAAAGTATCGGCGAAAAACGGAAAAGGCGATAGTAGATACGATATGTCTGATTTTGTTTCGAACAACGTCTCACTGCGATCGGTCTCTTCCAGGAGTGACAAGTGTACTTGACGTCCTTGCCGATGAACCGCACTTGGAGTCTAGTTATGAGTATAATTACCAGGTAAACATGACATCGAACTTCCAATATTACGGATACAGTGGATGGATCAGGAGTAGTAACGACACACACCTGTCGCTCAATATCCTTTGCTCCGACGTGCAACTTAAGAGCATGATATGTTACATTGAGCGTTGCAACGAGATGGAACCTGCGCCACTAAGAATTCTGGAGTCGGGACAATTGTTATACGACATTAACCACTATATCTTGTGCAATAATAGGGTACCTTTCAAGATTATGATCGGGACTGCAAGGATCAACACTTACATCGTCGACCGTCACTCGATACCGAAGGAATTGATAAATATTTACCGATCGATCACGAATCAGCTGATTATCGGCGTTAATATCAACATGATGAACGACATGATGAACGAGACATTCATGATGAACGAACGATCCAACATCGCTATCTGCCCCACGAGCTATGCGGTCTCAGTATTCTCAGTAGAGCCGTCCACAGCCAACCTGAATATCGTGCCGATACCCTTGGTTAACCTTGATCTTCGGAAAGGGACGATGATCATCGAAAAACAGTTAATAATCAGCGAATGCATCGCGGTATCGAACTATTCCTTCTCGGCAGGACTTTGGCCCGAGTTTGTCCCAAAAACGACTAACACCACTGCTTTGGTACGTGTCGATTGAATTGCACATCAAAATATTGCATTAAATCCTACTCCTAACATTTTACATTTTTTATTTATTTATCTATTTTTTTTGTTGATAAAATGTTATTCTTTCTTTATTATCGAGGGATATTATAATCCCGGAAATTGTATAATGTAAATAATGGTATGAGTGAATAAGAAATTAAAGCGTCGTTCTCGTTGTTGTCGAATCGGTGGGACTCGGATTGGTAAAAATAACTCGATGAAAATTGAAGGACGAGATTCGCTGTTTGACCCGTGGAGAGATATGTTTCCGGTGTAACATGCAAATGAAATCTCAATTGCATCTGTTTGTTGCAGATAAACTCGAATAGTTGGATGCGATTATCTACGCACGGCATGTGGTCTGAAACTATAAACACATTCTGTTTTCACGACCAGTATAACTTAGAAATCGGACACGTCAGGGAAAGAGTTAATGTTGAACTTAAATCGTACCGGAATATATCTACGGTACACATACCTGTAATCAACGAGCGTAACATTATCGAATACGATACGCTTAACGATGATGTGCGTTTTGAACCAATTTCTGCCACAAATATTTAAATTCTTTGTTACATGTTACACATTGTCTCTGTTTTCTTATATCTTTTGTCAATTGACTGAAAAGTTGTATACATTGGTTTATCGCACGACAATATTAAATAAAAATACCTATGCCAATAATCGACACTTTTGTGTATTTAATTTTATATATCGTTTATATGTACACTAAATAAAAACAATTTCCTGCTGTTGTTACTTCATAATTCACTTCATTTAAATTTGTTGACAAACATTTTCGACTGTTAGTCTTTTAGATGAATTATTGTTTAAATTCTGTTATAACTAATCTTTCATTAGAAAGTTAAACTCCAACCTCACGTAGAAGATACGAAGAATAGAAATAATAATATACATATGACATTGATTTATTGTTGTGACACAACGTGATACTAATACCATGTTTACCAAGATCCTTATAAATCTTTTACATCTATATTGTTAGCTCATGACAATTAGATAACTAATAATGGTTATAACTACTTTTCAGTTTTCTAACAATCTTTGGGCGTTTCTGGTGGCAGGAAAAATTTGAAGGTATTGCTATCTTATGTAATTTAACGAATATTATCAAATGCAAGTTTAAAATTTAGCAAAAGACGCTCAATTTAGACTCGATTAAATTGCATGGTTCGGTTAAAGATACAATCACAAATATTTCATGTTTTCATCACGTAGCTATAAAAGTATCGCTGCTGCCTCGATTGTTATTGAAATATCTGTCGCAGTCACATGTTATAAATTTAACCGATCTACTGGAGTTAACCTTCGCCGATATTGTGTTTATATTTCTTATAATTAAAGACGGAAGTTACATAAACGACGGCAGACGCCCTTGTCTGACAAGGACACTTTCGCTCGATTTCCGTTCGACGTTCATCTTCGAGCTAGTCGAGACTTAATCAGATTTAAAATCCGGCGAGAATCAGATTACGCAACGTAAAGAGAGACCCGCACAAGTAATCGCGAAATTAGAAAATACATCATACCGTGAATTAACTCGACGACAGAGAGAGAGAGAGAGAGAGAGAGAGAGAGAGAGAGAGAGAGAGAGAGAGAGAGAAGAGCCTTTCTAGCGCTACACAAAACAGTCGTTGGTGAGAACGAGAAGCAATAGCATCCAATTTCTTGTATTTTCCATCTAATCGATTTTATTCCTGAAGTTTCAGCTGCCTAGAGCGATAGAGGAGTAAAAGTACAGAGTACGCAGATACCCGAGAACAAAAGAAGATGCAGATATTCATTGTAGTGCCGTTTCTCATAGGTGAGTTGCGTCTCCAGGACGATTCGAGGAGGCTTTCTTATTATATCGCCAACGTTAATGTCCGTCAATATTTCGAAATCTAAAGCAGTGTAACTTTGCTCGGAATACCGTTCGGAAACCTCAAACACCCTCACGTAGCCGTTGTGAGGTGCAAAGTATCTGCGAAAAGCGGAAGAAGACAACAGTAGATACGACACGTCTGATTTTGCTTCGAATAGCATCTCACTGTGATCGGTCTCTTCCAGGAATGAAGATACTTGACGTCCCTGCCGAAGAAGCGAACTTGAAGCTTAGTTATGAGTATAATTACGAGGTACACATGACATCGGACTTCCACCAGTACGGAAGCGATGGCATGTATGAAAAGAGAAACGACACGCTCCTGTCGCTCAACTTCTTGTGTTCGGACGTGCAACATGAGAGCATGATGTGTTACATTGAGCCTTGCAACGAGATACAACCAACGCCACGAAAAAATCTGGAGTCGCAACAATTGTTATACATGGCTCCCATTAATCCCAGTGTCTTTTACAGAAATAGCGTGCCCTTCAAGATTATGTTCGGGGCTAAAGGGATCGACGGTTACATCGTCGAACGTCGCTCGGTACCGAAGCAATTGATGAATATTTACCGATCGATCGCGAATCAGCTGAGTATCGGCTTTAATATCAACGATACGGTGAGCAAGACATTCAAGTTGAACGAACGATCCAATGTCGCTGACTGCCCCACGAGATACGAGATCTCAGTAGAGTCGAGCAGAGCCAAACGAAATATCGTGCTGGTGCCCTTGGTTAATCTTGATTTCCAGAAAGGGATGACAGTCATCTCAAAGCAAAGAATAATCAGCGAATGCTTTGTAACGTCGAACTATTCCTTCTCGGCAGGAATTTGGCCCGAATTTGTCCCAAAAGCGGCTAAGGTCGCTACTTTGGTACGTGTCGATTAAATCGCGCATCAAGATATTGCATTAAATTCTATTCCTAACATTTTACATTTTTTTATTTTCTTTACTTTTTTATTTTTTTATAAAATGCTATTCTTTCTTTATTATCGAGGGATATTATAATCCCGTAAATGTGTAATGCAAATAACGGTACAAGTGAATAAAAAATTGAGTCATCGTTTTCGTTGTTGTCGAATCGGCAGGACTCGGATCGGTATATATAACTCGATGAAAATTGAAAGGCGAGATTCGTTGCCGATCCGTGAAAAGAAATGTCTCGGGTGTTACATGCAAATTAAATAATCGCAATTGCATCTGTTTGTTGTAGGTACACACGAGTAGTTGGATACATTTATCTGCGCACGAGATAAAGTCTGAAACTACAAACATATTCAATTTTTACAATCAGAGCAACTACCGTGTCGGATTCGTCAGGGAAAGAGTTAATCTTGAACTTAAATCGTATCGTAATATATCTCCAGTACATATACCTGTAATCAACAAGTTTAACACTGTTGAATTAGATATATTTAACGACAATGTGCTCTGACGAGTGCTTTCTACCGTAAACACTTCAATTTTTACATGTTATACGTTTTCCTTGTTTTCTTATATCTTTTATCAATTGTTACTGAACTGACTAAAAAGTTGCGTGCATTAGTTTATCGCACGGCAATATTAAATAAAAATGCCTATGCCAATAATCGACGATTTTTGTGTATTTAATTTTACATATTGTTTATCTCGCACTAAATAAAAGTAATTTCGTACTGTTGTTACCTCAGTTTTCACCTCATTTTTCATTGGTTCACAAACATTATCAACTGTTGGTTTTTTAGATGAAGTATTGTTTGAATTCCGTTATAATTAATCTTTTATCAGAAAGTTAAACTCCAACCTCACGCAGAAGGCATGAAGGATAGAAATAATAATACACATCCCAGGTAGCAAGATGACGTTTTGATGACGTTTTAATGACGTTATAATGACGTTAAAAACGTCTTAATGACGCCGTAATGACGTCTTTAAATGTCATCTTGCTACTTGGGATATGTCATTGACATTGCTGTCACACAATGTGACACAAATACGATGTGAATACCAAGGGAAATCCTAATAAATCTTTTACAGCTATATTGTTAGCTCTCGTGACGATTGGATAACTAATAACGATAATAACTGCTTTTCAATTTTACAACGATATTTATATCTTTGAATATTTATAGTGGAAAGAAAAATTTGAAGATGGTACTATCTTATGTAATATAACGAATATTATCAAATGCAAGCTTAAAATTTAACAAAAGGCGCTCGATTTAGACTCGGTTAAATTTTATAGACGCCGGTAAATCACGATTCGAGTCTCGGCTAAATTTTATGGCGGCCGATAAACTGTGGTTTGAGTTTTGACTAAAATTAACCTTTTAGCGAAGACTTAAACCACAGTTTACTGGTTTCCATAAAATTTAGCCGAGGTGCGAACCATAACTTACCGACCACAGTAAAATTTAATTTCGAGGCTAAATCAGGCATTTTCTGCAAACATTTAAAATTATATTTATATCTCATATTATAGGCGCTCATTGGTGGTGGCGCGATAAAGACAGAGAGCGATTGATCATCTATGCTTTTCTATCTTACTATCTTCCTTAAGGAAGTAGAGTTAACAAGAACCGTGCACGCTTTGCCGTTATCGTCAGGACGTCAGCCGTAGAGTGTGCACACATTTTCTCAGGGGACGCGTCGAAAAAAGCGTACCGGCGTAACCGGTCCGGTGGCCGTTCTCAGGTTTCTCTCTGATGGGACTGAAGGTCATTCTACAATACGTGTCGTAAGTTGTAAGCCGTAAGAATTGGCGAATCACGCCAGTCGATTATTACAAAAATAATCGGCTATAATTGGTCAGTTCTTACGGCTTACAACTTACGACACGTATTGTAGAATGACCTTGAGTCAGGAGGATTTGAGTCTCGGCTGAGCTAATTGATAAATGTTGCTTGAAAAGGTTCGAGTCTTTGGAGGAGCGATGACTTTTAGTTCCGACATCTCCGCTACGAGCCGCCACTATATTTAAAGAGCAATTGAGCGGCAGTTTTTGCCGGGCTTATAAAAATCTTGCAAATCTTGAATCAACATTTGCATTTTTGCCGGGTTGGAAGAGCTGAAGAAGTTGCTTTTACTTTGTAACAAATATGTGTATGTGTGTGTAACATTTTCGCAGAACACGCTGAGCGAGGCTTCACATCCACGATCGAGAGTACCTTTGATTTTTACAATTATTAGCAGGAGCCATTGGAACTATTGTCTGAGGTCGGAACTATTGTAGATTTCCTGGAACTTAAATACCCTGGAGTTAAAGTGGTACCGGCTAACATCGCACGAAGAAATATCGGATCAGGAATAGCAGGATTAAAATAATGAACGTGACCGGCGATAACCCAATATTAAAAGTCGGCGCGCGCTAAATTGCCACACCGTTACACGGTGTACATTTCCTTTCCTTTGCTTCTTCTTAGCCAACTATTCACTGAGTGACGATTTAACAGCGTTTCACAGCGTGTAACAATGTGACAGATGTTAATCGCAAGACCAAATAACGTTTTTTCGTCTATTCGACTCGACAGCATGCGATCATGGATCTGATATATTACATTACCGTCACCTCAATCTCCAACGACGCACACATACGTTAATAAATGCAATAAAGTGACAAGTACCAACATCTACATTTTCATCACGACTTCGTAACTGTGCTGGAGATAATCTCACACGTTCAGCATCTGGAGCCTACGAACAAGTGGATTCGTGAAAAAAGAGAAAGAGACAGCAGAGCTTATGTCACGTCCCTCCGGCGCAATCATCCGCGTTACCTAATTTAATGCCGCGAATGAGATCATTGTGTCCTATCTTCGTGTTAATGGCAAAATTACGCCCCTCGTTCCTCGAGATAAACGCCACTTCCAAGGTTCGCTCGGATATCGCCCGCCTTTTTCTACGCGCGCGCGCGCGCGCGCTTTCCGATCGACTTTTACGGGAACACGCTCTCGTCCCTTCTCACTGGTTACATTTAGCGGGACAAAACAGTTGCAAAACCGTTTTATGATTTTCTTCTGAACGGTACTAAACAACAGAGGTCGCCATGTTATTCAGCAAATTAAAAGTAAGCTGAATCTAAGCACAACGTGTTGAGCAAGATGGATGCCCCCAATTTATGTGAAGCGCAATACACATATAAAGACGTTATATATAATGTAGATTCTGTAAAAGTGCACGAGCAATTAGAAAAAGGTATATTTAAATAATTTAATAATGAAATATATAATTATATTTACGTCAGAGTATATTTAGATATTAATGCATATTGTAGATAATGCATAGAATAAAGCCACACAGCAAAAATAAGAGGAAACGTTTCAAATTTTATATGGATCTTTTTTTAATATGATAAGTGTATCAAAGATAACAGCTGAATAAGAAAAATGCATGTAGCAACTATTTTGCAGCGAGTAATGAAAGGTTAGTCCGATGTTTGCAAATATACAGGGTGTCCCATTTTTACTTTCGCATTAAAAAATCTCGAAAATTATGAAAGATATTGGAAAAAGCTGAAACACGTTTTCCATGATTTCGAAGGGGAAAGAGAATGGCATTATCGGCTTTTCATTTGGAGAGCATTTTCAAGGTCAGTTAAAGGTCAACTTAATTTTTCGAAATAGAAGGCCCAATTTTTTATCTTCTTTTTCTACCAATTAATTTTAACAACTTTTGTCTGAAATGTTTCTTGATTTGCCTAATATTATTTGAAATATTTATGGAAAACTTGGTAACTTTTTCGCCATTTAACTTACGATATCTCGCTAACTATTCGTCGAAAGAAAAAATAGTATTAGACTTTTTCACCTTATTTACTATCAAGAATGTATTGCTATAATAGTGCTCTAACTGTTGTTAAATTTTGTTAATAATTTTGAAATTTCCAAAGGTCGATAAGTACTTCGACTCTTGTATCTCGGGTTTGGCAGCTCGCGAAGGAAGAAACGCAGGTCCTCGAGACGAGCGCTCGTGTTACGCGCTCGTCCCCGTTTCCTTCGGAGAACGCTCGCGTCGTAACGGAGCGAAGTACCTGGACCGCGGCGGCCATTTATTGCGGTCCAAGGTCACCGTGATGGCTCGATGTCGGATGCGACGAGATGCGCGGGATGCGCCCTCGTCGGCCCACGCGTGCTTCGTGCTGAGAAAAGTGTACCTCGGTATTTATATATGCAATTATAATCGCACGCTAAAAGGATCATAGTCAGGAGAGAGCCATTACTATATATATATATATGTATAGCAAGTGTCACTATAATATATTGACGATAATAATAGCCATGTGTATTTTCTCTTGCAACCGCGCATTTCTTTTTTAAACGACGAGAAGCTGCAGTTGCGACTAGAAATACATTTTAGCAACATCAACTGTTTTTCTTTCAGCTTCACCGCAAACCCGAGAGAGCGTGTCGCTTTATGCATACAAGCAAGTGTTGGCTGAAGCTCTCTTCACCGCGTTATTGAGTTCGAAAACGACGTTCATCAAACATATTAAATGACGAGAGATTCGAGACGACGTGAAGCGACGTGAAGAGAGTTTCAGCCAGTCATACTTATGCGTGTAAAGTGTAATTCGAATACGCGGTGCACCCTCGGTTTTCTCTGCGGCGACGAGAAGTCGCGACGCCGATTTCTCGCTGTTCAAGCCCACCCCGGTCGGGGAAGTTTCCAGCGGATTGGGAGAGAGCGCTGAAGAAACTTCTTCCAGCCCAAACGAGCGTCGTCGCGTCGCTTATGCATCAAATTCTCCGATAGTCCGCGGTCAACTCCTGTTCGTTGCGGCCTGCTTCCGCGGAAGACGCGTTGAGTGAGAGCTCGTTAAACATTTCACAGCCGCTGGAGGAGCCACTTCTTCTTGTCGCTCGCTTCCGACGAATCGAAGTGTGTCACTTCGACACGCCTAAATGCAATTTTAGTAACATCAACTATTTTTCATCTCAACCTCACCGCAGATCCGAGCGCGTCCGTTCACGCATAAACGTAAAGCCACCGGCTGAAGCTGCTCCCTTTACACGTTCCTGATCGCCTCGAATCGCCTCGCATTTGATACGCGTTTCGAACGTGTCGAATGCGCGATCCAAACGGATTGAACGACTTGAGACGACAGGGAACGCGTGAAAGAAATTGCACGCTCGTGAGCGTCGAAATACGTGAGCAGCGATTCTCTCCGCGAGGACTCGTGTCCGCCTCCTCGTGGACGCTCCAAGTGGGCCATCATCAGCTTCCTCGCTCGGGTGTCGGCTCTCGCGATACTTTCCCGCGCGACGATTATCCGGACTCGCTCGGACTCGCACGCTCGCGGAACGCTCATCGGCAACTTCATTTTCGACTGGGCTCTCCACCGCGCGCGCGGCACTCCCGATCGACATTGTCGTCAATCAGCGGTATTTTCGCCGCGTTTCTCCTAGGTCAGTTAGCTCCCCGATTATTCGATTGAGATTCATCAGCGCTTATTGCCAGTGTCAGCGATCAGCCGCGAAGGACGGATTAAAAGCTGACGCTGATGAAAATCTTGATGCGCGATATCTCCCGTCGTCACTCGTCCCGCGATATATTACGCGCCGGCCGATCAGCTGCACATTTTTCCCCGCGCTGAGCGAAAAGCCGCTCGAATTCGAGCGACTCGCGGTTTCCACGAAGGAGCGGAGTCCAGTGAGTGGAGTGCCTTCGCGAGTCTCTCGCGAGCCTTTCGCGCGAGATTCAACAGAGCCGAAGTCACGAGACAGAGAGAGAGAGAGAGAGAGAGATGACACAACGGAACAGTGAAACTTCGGGCAGCAGGAGAAGGAAGAAAGAGCCGAAGAAGCGCCGGAAACAGGTATCGCCTGGTGGTTCACTGGTCGCTTTTCCGCAGGGCCTCCCATTCTCGTGAGTAGCTGATGAAGGTGGTTGAAGTCAGGATCGAGCGGTCGAAACGGCTCCCAGTGCCTCGTCGCGCCATTCGCTGCTTGTTAATGGATAGAATAGAAGAGGGGTGGAAGAGTAGAAACGGAGCGCGGAAAGATGGAAGAATAATTCATGTAAAGTTAGGGAAGAAGGATTCACGTCAACTTAGGATTCGATGGAAATTAGGACGATTTTTACAAAATCAGGATAGGAGGAAGTTAAAAAAGTGCCGAGCGACCGTGATCTCAGCCGCGCTCTTTTCTCTCCGGTGTAAAATTTCGCAGCCGAGTGAAAGATCGGTGTGACACACCGATCTTTCACTCGGCCGAGTGTGCGGTTGCTGATTCTTCGCGAGTAACTGCAAAAGTCGCGAGCAGTTTGGCGTTCGATTTCGAGCCTCCGACCGACCGAGAGAGAGAGAGAGAGAGAGAGAGAGAGAGAGAGAGAGAAAAGTCCTTCTCGAGCCCCATGCCGTGGAATCCGTTTCCCCGGGCAGTTTCGACGACTACACGCGTCTGACACGCTCCTGGAATAATTAACGTAATCTAAACTAATATCCCACCACTTGCTCCGCTCGCTGGGCGGCTCAGCGCCGAGAGAGCCGATGTGCGTCTCTTCTGTCTTCTCTTTTTCTTCTCCTTTCCTACAAATAACCCGCGCGGCGGACGCGCTTTCCCACGGCGAGCCCCTCGCCGGCGATCCCACGGGAGCGTAAATCCCACAGAGCGGCGCGCCGCTTCGGTTTCCCGTCGCAAACGGAGTACGGCTACGGTAAATTGGAGCCCGCTAATCGTAAGAAGAGGTCAGTAGTGCAGTTTAGCCGCGGTATAAGAGCCGCTCTCGAACATCAGTAACTCCATTAAAGTAGATCAACGTTGCACGGTGTCGCCATGAACGTGGTAGTGATACCGTTCTTCCTAGGTAAGCGCGCGCTCGGGATCGTCACACACACACACCACACACACACACACACACGCGCGCGCACATCTCCACAGCCACACCGTGTTGCTCGACGCGCGAGACCGAGACCGGCGGCACTCTCTCGGCTCGGATTGATCGATCGCCGCTGCTTCGCGATCATCACCCCCTGCAAATCATCAGCCCGCTTCTCATTTACGTGGGAGTCATCCACGCGCAAGTATTCCATCGAATCGCGCGATCAAATCGATCGATTCATGCGGACGCGCGCGCGGTATGCCGGCTCGGCTCGGCTCGGCTCGATCGTGCGAACTGTCCACCGGAAGCGCTCGAAAAGTCTCACACGCACGCACGCACACATGCGCGGGTCGTTTAGTAGTCGAGGGCGCGTTTAAAGCCCCAGTCAGACGGAGGGCGCTTTCAGCCCCCAGCGAGGGCTCCCTTTGCTTTGCTCCTCTTTCCACACGCGAATTTTCTCACCAACTCGTTACGTAATTCGAGCGCTCCGACGAAGCGTGTCCGGTGAGTCTTAGTGAGTCGACCACCTGGTTAACCTTAACATCGTTAACCTTAACGAAGACGGAGAGTTGCGGAGTCGTCGAGCTTCACGACCGCTTCAGCCGATCGCGATCTTCGCTCGAGTTGTGACGTTCGAGCCGCAACCCTCGAGCTCCGATATCCAGTCTGATACTGGCTTAACGTTGCACGCATCGTTCACTTGACGTCACACCTTCGACACCGTCGTCGACATCAGCCCTCATTCAACGTAACCGACCGCTCGAGCAGCTCGTGTTCTCGCGAGCATGAACGGCGACGACGACAACGACGATAATTTGCCGGGTACACATACACGCACACACACACACACAGAGAGAGAGAGAGAGAGAGAGAGAGAGAGAGAGAGACACATACGAGAGATATACTCCCTTTTTCCAGCCGCGTACGTCACCGTGGACAAGCCGTGGGAGCATGGGCCGGAGTACGTGTTCCAGGTCCAGGTGAACTCCACGGCGATCCCGGAGGAGGACATGTACGACAGCGTCCGGCTGAACCTGGAGTCGCGGCTGATCTGCCAGCCGAAGGTCGACTCGTACTCGCTGAGCTGCCGCTTCAAGGACTCCGTGGCGAACAGCTTCGTCACGGACATCCTGGAGCCGACGGGCCCGGCGGTGCCGGCCGGGCCGGTGAGCCGGCAAGAGGCGTACGAGATAAACGAGGACCAGTTCGAGATCAAGTTCAACGAGAAGGGCCTGGACAGTCTGCTGGTGAACGAGAACATACAGCCGCGCGAGCTCGACATGATCCGCCTGATAGTCGGCCAGCTGAACTTCGGCATCAGCTTGAGCGAGGCGGGCCGCGTGGCGAACCGCGAGGACGGCATCTTCGACGCGATGGAGAACTTCACGCAGGGCGAGTGCGTGACGACCTTCAAGATCGACAGGAAGGTGAACGCGCGCTTGCACGGCAAGAGCAACTTCCTCCTCAGGCCGGTGCTGGACCTGAAGGAGCAGAAGATGCTGCAGATACGGAAGATCCGGCATCTGCACATATGCACGCACAAGGTGCCCTACTTCTTCGGCAACGCGGAGAACCTCGCGGAAGTCAGCGACATCGTGTCCGATATCGTAAGTACAAGCCGCGCTCTTTCGAGCTCCAATTTCGGGGAGAACATCGCTCACTTTCTCTCTCTCTCTCTCTCTCATCATTAATCCTCATCTGCAAGTCCGATTTCCGCCGGAGGGGTGGGAGCGGCCGGCTAGAGGGATGCCGGTAATCCCGCTTGAAAATCTCCGCGCAGAAGGAGCAGGACGAAGACAGAGAGAGAGAGAGAGAGAGAGAGAGAGAGAGAGAGAGAGAAGACTCGCGCCGCTTCGAGACTCGCGCGACTGGCGCGAGAAGGAAACGTCACACGGCGATTAATCGCGACGATTGGCGCGACTCGTCGTCGACGCGCGACGTCGAATTCAATTCGATTCAATTCAATTCCGCGTCCATTGCTGCGAAAGACCACCGGCCGGAAGTCCGCGTCGCGTCAGGCAATCGAGACGATGCGCGGGACCAGCGTGTCGACCGGACGGATCGGTATTCAATCGCCCGATCGGAGCAGCGGGGGGAGGGGAGCTGCATGCTGTACAACGAGACTAGGAGACACACACACACACACACACACACACACATATACACAGCGCAGCGTTCACGCGCGCGCCGCTGACCTTTGTCCCCCTTTGCTGTTGCAGAGCACGTCGTACAGTCAGATCGCCGTGACAGAGAGCGACTTCGTCTCCGACATGTCGAGCGTGATAACGATGAACAAGATCACCGAGGCGGTGCTGACGACGCTTTACGAGAACGTGCGGCTGAGGCTCGTGTCGATCCGACCGGCCGAGAGCGAGCCGCCGGCGGTGACAGAAGCCGAGCCCGCCAGCATCTTCATCGGCAGGTGGTTGATCGCCGGCTCCGCCGACGAGGACAACTAGGAGGCTTACTCGCGAGGAACACTGTCGTAATCGCCAGTGTCAGGGTGCTCGCCGCCACGGGCGACGCGCGTTGCGCAACGACGCGCAGCAACGAGAGAGAGAGAGAGAGAGAGAGAGAGAGAGAGAGAGAGAGACCCCGCGCGTCTCCCCGCGGTCACTTTAGTCCGCGCGCGGTTCGTCTAATTTCCGCTCTTACTTAACACGCACCATTCCAGGCGACACGACGCGTCTTTCGTGTTCAACAAGCTGGACACATTTGCGGCCCCGCGTCGACGAAGCCGCGCGAGAGGCGGTGAAGATTTTGTGGAAAATAAACGATTATGTATCACACAGTCGCGTCTTTTCCTTTTCTCTCCGTACCCTCCCGCCGTCGACGCTTTGAGTCGGCAAATTTTCTCTCGACGAGATCGACGCGACGAGCGCGAGCAAGTTTTCGCGCATTCCAGCGCGACATCGCCGAGCTGGAGGACTCTCTTCCGCTCGTTTTACTCGTTCTTCGATAATTAGCCGTTAGCGTCTCCCTTGCACTTTTCTCAATCGCGCCGGCGGCGGCGGCGGCGGCGATACGTTACGAACGAGTCGTCGCATACGCGTTGGTTGATCCTTCGGACTCGTGTCCTTTATCTCAAAATATTCGAGGCTTATTCGCGCAGCTCGCGAGCGGCGACTTGAACGCGCGTGTCCCGGCCGCGCGCTTACATAATTCGAAGAACGGTGGCTAATGGCGCGAAGAGAGTGACACTCGAGAATGATCAATGACGATTCGCTGCGGAGTTGCAATTTGCTGAACCGATCCTGCGAACGACTTACTTACTTACTTACTTACTTGCGCGCGTTACGCGGGCCGATTTGACCGTTCGCGAAATTCCGCGTAAAACCGTGTCATCCAATCGCGCGTTATTTCGCATCGTTACCGCGCGAAGGCACGGTGAAGAGACGGACGAGACACGGGTCGCGAGTTAATTATACGAAGCGCTAACGAATCTCTCGCGGCGGAGACGTGTGCGTATAAGAGGCCGACGTGAGGAGATTTCCAAAGCAGTTCGGCATTAACCGGCGCCATGGAGACGTTCGTGCTGCTGCCGTTTTTCCTACGTGAGTAGCGTCGATCGAACGGAGGGTGATTTTCGCGTCCCTCTCGAGGAGGCACCCGCGAGGCACTTCCTCGCCGGCCGAGCTCCCCCCCCCTCCCCCCCTCCACGAATTCCGAATCGGTAACCGGCTACACCCGGTCACACCCAGAAAGAAGTATTCTATTTGTAAAGTGATCTTTCCCGTAGTCTCATATTCTAAGCGAAACCTTTCACAGGAGAAGGATCTCTCTCTTCGGAGAAAGCGATTAAAGGGGCGATGAGGGGGCGAGGAGGGTTAGATTACTGAAAAATCGTGCTTGTTCTTGATGACGAATGATTTTCTGACGAACTGAATTAATGTGCAAGAATGAAAATTTTATAATACATATATCTATATAACGTGTAACGAAGAGTGGAAGAATTTTGTTTTTAAACAAATACTCATACAAATATACGTCCATTTAAATTTTAAACGCGTTTCTCTCGAAGTTTTGTTGTTCAACTTTTGCAGTGATTTCTCCAAAACTGAGCTTCGTATCGATTTGAAATTTTAAAGCAACAATATTTGTTCATGTGGCTCTCAGGCAAACCATGGACAACTTCGTCAAAATATTTCATTTCGGGATATTAATTTCTTTATTGCAAAAGAACTGAAAAATTTGAATTTTTTCCTAATAATAGCTGCCATTTTTGTTAATTTTGTTCGATATTTTTTTCTAGTGGTTCACCGGATAATGATAAGCCTCCTTAAGATTTCTAGCTAAAATTCGCTCTGATCGAACCGCCGAGAACCGAGATATTACTGCGAAAACGATAACTTGAAAAAAAAAAGGAGAGTATATTTCAGCTATATATATCGTACGTATATTTATACGAGTATTTGTTAATAAACAAAATTTTTCTACTCTTCATATGTTGTATAAATATATCTAAAATTTTCATTCTTGCACATTTATTCATTTCATCATAAAATATTATCAAAAACAAGCACGATTTTTCAGCAATCTGACCCTCCGATCCCTTTAAAGTGAAGCATTCGTCTAAAATTTATTGGCTGTCCTCTTATTTCAAGGGGATTTCCTCTTGCATCAATTAATTTTCCTCCTATATGAGGAAGAACATGTTGACTCGAATGTCGGTTTCTTTTGTTCAATATACCTCCAGACACGAACGAAAAAATAACCATATGCTCATCGGTCAGAGTATTTGGAACGCTCTTTAAAAAAGGTACGTGTGTTGCCGTGTGACATATAACGAAGATAATTTACCCATATTTGGTAAAATACAGTTTACAATCTGTTGCAAGAAGTTGAATAATATATTCTTTCTTTTAACTCTTTCATACACTGAGAAAAAATTGTATTAAAATTAAACAAATATTTATTCGAATATGACTGTACGAATACATTTACTTAAATTAAGCAATTATTTTCTAAAATTCAAGAAAAAAGTTGACATTCAGAGAGAGAGAGAGAACCTCTGTATTTCATTTTAGAGATTAGTCGCTTAATTTGAATAAATGTATTCGCACAGTCGTAATCGAGCAAATATTTGTTTAATTTTAATACAATTTTTTCTCACTGCACAAGTTAGTTATGATGAGCATCTTTGTAGCTATGAAGTCTGTAACAAAACTGATTAGAAATTTGTTTGTTACGTTGATCTTACTTCACTCGTGTCTACTTATTGTAGAAATAGAAGTACATCTATACACATATTACTCTTCGCTATACATTATAACAATTTTTTCGAGTTAACCAGTATAACCAGTAAGAATAAAATGTAGTACGAATAAATAATAATCCTCTTAAAAAAAGATGAAATAATCGGTGTATAAGAGGAATTTGTATTAAAATCAATAAGGTTTGCATTACACATACAGCAATCCCTAAAAGTAATCCCTCTAACTTTAAGAATAATGTGTTTGTAATATTTGCCCCTTTTTTAGATCAGAATTTTAGACGGAATTTCAGAACAATCCTCTTGAGGCCGTATATAAGAGTAAAATCCTCCAATTGATTGAAACGATTCCGCTTGTTCTGAAATTACTTGTTTTCGGGCGCAGCGTGCTCGCGCGAATGCTCGCTTGGGAAACGACCACTTCCCGCCGAATGCACAGTTCCACAGCAAAATTCCCCCTCGCCCGAGACTGAGACTCAAGATAGAAAGAAGAGAGGCACGCGGTGGAGATATTTCTTTTCTATTTCGCTACGCGACGTGTGCCTCTTGCAGTGAGTCGCGTGCCGACGGACGTCGACACCTGGCGCTATGGACCGGAGTACACCTTCGTGGCGGACGCCAACATGACCACCCTGGAGGGACGCTCCACCCTAGACTTCTCCGTCTGCCAGGTGTACAGCACGCTCAAGTGCCGTCTGCGGGACTCCGAGACGCTGCACTGCCACTTCGGCGTCGCCAACATCACGATATACAAGGACCCCGTCGATGTTCAGGAGGACGAGGACAGTTGGTTCCACGCGCCCTTCGACATCAAGTTCGACCGCCGGGGGATTCGCAGCCTGGTGGTCCTGCGGGAGATGAGCTCCTGGTACCTCGATATGGTGCGAGCGTTCGTCAGTCAGCTGAGCTTGGGCGTGGAGCTGCTGCACATGCCGGACGGCGCGTTCACGGCCGTGGACAGTACGTACAACGGCCAGTGCGAGACCTTCGTCAACATCTCCCGCGAGGTCCAGGGTAACGAGGTCTCGGGGGCTGAGGACTACGAGATCTTGCCTATGAACGGCATCCGCAAGAAACCGGGCGAGGTGCTGGTGATCGACAGGACGAGGAATCTGAAAAATTGCATGGACAACAGGAATTACATCATGTCGGGCGAGCTTAATCGCGCGGAGACGCGGACGGTGAGTGTAGGAGGCGGGCGATTCGCTCGCGGACCTTGCGGCTAACAGCGCGAATCTCGCTTGTCGTCTTCGTCGCACTTCGTTTGCCGCGCGAAAGTTTATTTTTGTTCATCGTCGAGTCCAAATTTGTCGAAAAACTTTACACGGCCAAGCATGAAACCTGTCAACTCTGAAATCCTCAGACACCTTGCTTCATCGTCAAGTGTGCAATTCGTATTGCCGTTGAACCTGGAATCGTTTCTCAAGGTTTCATTTACCGTCAGATGTAAAGTTCTCAAGCATCAATCGCGAATAATCCATCCTTGTCTGTGATCCTCCGTCAAGCTAACAGCTGTCTCACTCTCTCTCTCTCTCTCTCTCTCTCTCTCTCTCTTTCTCGTGAAAAAGAAAGATGCATCGTTGAAAGAAAACAGAAGATCGAAGCAAATCCGATATCCAATATTAATCGGATAATTGTCATTATAATTGGATAATTAATTGGATAAATATAATTCCGCATATCCAATATCGCAAATACTTCGTATGGTGTCGGCAACAACAATAATAATAATAATAATAATAATAATAATAATGTACTCCTTGTTGCTTTTCAGCTGGCCTCGCACAGCCGGATCGAGGTATCCGACACGGACTACGAATCCTACACCGAGAGCATGATCGAAATCATAAATAGGGGAATTACTATTTTGTTCCACGAGAAGATCAGCATGAACCTCGTCTCTGTGCTCCCCGCCAAGGAACCGCTGCGGCCATTCTCAAACGACACGGTGACTGTCAGCCTCTACGTGTACAGCGAAAAGAATTAGCAAACTCCCGTGAAAGAGAGAGAGAGAGAGAGAGAGAGAGAGAGAGAGAGAGACGATTGTTATAGAATAAAACCGTGAAAAAAATATGTTGTATTTCAATGTACCGTCGCGTGCGGAAGATCTTCTTCCGCGTGCCGGCGTGTTATAAACGCAAATAAACGACACGAGAACCGGCAATAATTTATCACTTACGCGTAAAACCTTGCCGGGCAATTGCAGGCAGCGCGCGCATTATCAGAACAGTCCTGCCTAAGTTACAAAGGCAACGCCGTCGCGTTATCAATATCTCGCGGAAGATATCTGCAGGATCTGGCCGGAAGCGGTACTTAGCGAAATTATTTTCAAGGAGACGCGTATGAATCGACTTATCGGCCCGTATAAAGAGAAGACGGATGGCAAGTCGTGGCATCAGTCAAACCCGGGACTTCGGTCATGTTAGTGACAGTCTTGCCGTTCTTCTTGGGTACGTTCTCGGAATCCTCGGGAGCCTTCTCCCGCCAGACAGCGCGCTGTCTTCGTCTCTCACTTCGGACCTGCTTGCCCGAGTAACACGTTCGCACGAGGTTCCCGTCGGGCGAGAGTCGCGCTGATCCGCCGAGATCGTCGTCTCGGCAATTAATAGCGGGTGCGCGAAGTCGCTTGAATCGAGAGACCGCATAAATAACAACGCAGACATAAGTAAAACGCGGACATGGAAAAATTCGAGCTCGAGGCTCGAAGCTGATGCGAAACGTCGAGATGCGCTCGTCCTTCCGGTTTCCCCCGCGGGAAGTAGCCGCGGACACTAGCATGTTCAGCGAAGTCCCCGGGGACTTCGATAATATGACCGGGACGAAGTAACGTAAGTAAAGTCGGCAGCGAAATAAAACGCCCACACATCGTCGGGGCTGCTGATCCTCATCTGCCGCGCCATCATCTTATATCACCCGTGATCTTATATTTCCGCTGGTTATCTCTTCATCATTCCAGCCGCGCACGTCGCCGTCGACGACCCCCGCCGGCAATCGGAATGGACCGCGTACGGTGCCGAGTGCACTTACGACGTCCTCGTGATGATGTCCCTGGAGAACATCGTCCGGCCGGACGATAATTTCTGCTCCACCATCGCGTCCGAGCTCAAGTGCCGGCCCAAGGGCCAGGACACCCTGAGCTGCCGCTTCCAGAACTCGCGGATCCGGCACCCGCGTCCGGAGGAAGGCAGGTGCACGAACGCGATGGGCTTCGTGCCGACGCGGACGAGATTCGTCGACGAGGAGCCCTTCGAGATTCGCTTCAACTCGAGGGGCATCGAGAACCTGGTGGTGCACAGGACGATCCCCAGATGGCAGCTGGACATGATCAAGGTCATAGTCAGCCAGCTGAACATCGGCTTCGAGTCGTGGGAACATCGCGACCGCTTCGCCATCATGGAGAACTCGACCATGGGCCACTGCGAGGTCGACGTCAAGATCACACGTGATGATGGCTGGATCAGCGAGGAGGATCATCACCACGACGACGACGACGACGACGACGACGACGACGACGGACACGATGACGAGCACGATGACGAGCACGACGATCATCACAATGACGAGGAGGAGGGCTCCAGCGAGGAGGAGCTGAAGGAGGGTGAAGACTTTGAGATCAAATTCATGACGCATAACGAAGAGTTCACGCGTACCGTCGACGGCACCTTCCACGTGCAGAAGCTGCGCCAGCCCAAGAGATGCCCGCGAAGGTCGATCTACTTCTTCGGGAACGAGGAGGACTACAGCCGCGGCGATAGAGAACTCTACATGGACATGGTACGATTTAAATACGCGTAAAGACGGTAAACTTGATGACGATCTATTAGCCTTCGACGACGTTGATCGTGTCGCAACACTCGGAAATCGAGTCGGAGACTTTGCCTGCTCCAAAAGAAGCCGTCATAATTTACATCTTATATAATTGTCATGTAACATATATCGCGCGCGCGCGCGTGTGTGTGTGTGTGTATCAGATTATAATAATTTGTACAAATTATATAATTGAATTTGATGCGATCGTACAATCCGTCGGAGGAGACTTCATCTTTCTTCTTCTCTTCTAACGAGTGATGTCTCTAGACGCATGCTTGGCTAGCGCATCCTTGATGTTAAGCAATTGATTAATGTCTCGCTCCTTCCGACGTTTCAGACCGACTCAGTGAGTCACGTCAAGATCAACAAGCACAAGTTCGTGTCCTTCTCGATAACGGCGGGCGTTATGAAGACGGCGAACAAGTCGCGGGTGATGCGACCTCAGCAGGTCATCAGCCTGAAGCTGAAGCGAATAGATCTCGCGCGACACTCACTGCCGGAGATCCAGAATCCAGCATCAACGAGTCTGTTCGCGTTCTCGCACCTGGAAACGATCCCGGAGGATGCGTGATCGCGACAACGCGTATCGCCTTGAAGATACTCACGAGTTTCCGACGAATGAGATTCCGATCAAGCGCCGTTAAAGAATAAGTAAAAACGTTCCCCGAAACAATTGCCGTTCGGTTCAATTAACTCTTTGCTGTCGACACGAAGAGCCCGCGTCAGGCTCCGAGGATTGAAGATTGAAGGTCGCGATGGTTGGAGATGAGAGAGCTCGGCCAATCGGAGGAGAACGAGAATCGAAATTCGCGTCGAATTCTCATGTCCGATCCGCAATTCTCAATCTCCAACACCCAATCTGACACCCAATCGCTTCAATCGGGAGACGTCGCCGGTTACCGAGGAGAGATCGGTTGAATAAATCAGAGAGAGAGAGAGAGAGAGAGTCGAGCAGACATTTTCGGAAACGGAATTTCTGCTCTTCAGGACGAAACTCCTGGTCCAAGGACTAGCGAGAACGGGAAATTCGGGCGAAACGCGTTCGTCGTCCGTTCGTCGTCACGTGGATTCGACCGATCTTCTTCCGGCCGTGCGTCTTCCTCGCGTGCATTCCGCCGAGTGTATGTAAGCATTAATCAAAACAATGTGTAACTCGTCGCGGAGCGACTCTCACGAGTCATAAATCGTTGGATGTAGCTGCAATAAAGGACCACCTGAAACGAGAGAATTGTACGACGATCTCTCTCTCTCTCTCTCTCTCTCCCTCCCCCTCTCTCTCTCTCTCCCTCTCTCTCCCTCTTTCAGCATCGCCGGCACCGACGCGGCCGACTCGACTCGGGCACTATCGCGGCCCTTCACGCCCCCAAGCGCTCCTCGCGCGCTCCATTGTCAGCTCGATTGTTTCCGCTACAATTCATGCTGCGAAGTGACAGAAGAGAGAGCTAATTTGATTTCATCTAAAGCCCGCGCGTAACGAGACTTCCGCAGCGCGCTCATTGGATCTCCGAGAAACGCTCGTCGGCGTATACGTGCCGTGCGCGTCGGTGCGTCGTTTCGCGGAAATATTCGTCGCGTCGCAAACGTGCGACTGCAATTCGCGATGATCCGACGGGGGGAATCGTTGGAAAAAGAAAAGGAAAAAAGAATCGCATTACTCCCAACGGCAGAGCTAATCCAAATCTGTCGCGGCCGCGACGCAACGGCCGCCGGTTTCGCAAGAGAACGGACGCATCTCAACGTCCAGGCGTTCAGCTTGGGAAAAAAGCATCGAGAAAAAACGGTTAAAAATCGAGTCAAAGAAATTTCGCAGAGGCCACGGGGTGAACTTTCAGCGAGAGACGTCCGGTCGCGTTCAAAGATCCGAGAGAGGCGGACTCCGCTCGGCGGCGCCGAGGGCATCGCGGGTTTCGATAAAATCGCGGTCTCGAGGAGAAAAGGAAGAGAAAAAGAAGAAAAAAAGAGAGAGAGAGAGAGAGAGAGAGAGATCGAAAGGTCGTCCGTGCGACCTTTCATCGCTCACGTTGGCACGCGCGAGTGTGCATACGCACGTCGCATACATACAGGCGTGCAACGTGCGTCATTCTGTAGAGTTGAGTTCGGACGCAAGCGCGCTGTTGAACATTATGAGCGTTAAATTATGAGCGTTACGTTCCGATATAAAGGAGCTTGCGAGTGTAAGAAGCGTATTACTGCGGCGAGGCACGCTGCCACGTTGAGATGAACGTCATCCTAATTCCGTTCTTCCTAGGTCGGTAAGCCAGTAATAACGTACAAGTGCCTGGATCCACGTGTGCTATTCAAAGTCATATTCATCTATTCGACTGTGAAATCATCCGCGTGCATGTGCGTGTGCGCACGCGCGCGCGCGCGCGCGCGAGTGTGTGTGTGTCGCGTGCGTGATACGGACGAGAGGCCCGATCGACAGACTTTAGCGGAGATCGCGTGATGAACGTGATGAACGTAAATCACTGAAACGACTCGATTCAAACTAGCTGTCTCTTCGTTTGCGATCCCTTCCGAAGAGCTCCGCCGTCTTCCCTCATCCTCTTCCCCGAGAACTTTCTGTCATCGCTCTGCTCGACGCTCGCATGCCGATAATCCTTTTCTTTCGCACTCGCGACATCAAATCCTCCTCGCATGGCACTGGAACTCGCTCCTGTTCTCGTGAGAAAGAATGGCATGCTGCCTGCCGGTGAGGCGAGGGGGAAGATACCATCAGCTTCTGTTTAACCCTTTAACGCCTACTGGTAACTATAGTTACTAGAGACGCGGGATTTAAGAATCCATAATTTAGCGAAGAAAGGAGATATTTTCGTTTTCTTTGCACCTGCACTGTAAAGCTGTGGATTCTTCCTCTAAAAAATGGTATGTAGATTCGGTTTAGTCTGTTTTCAGCTCAGTTTTAATGATAACATGTTTGTGTCAGATTTCAAGTAGGCGTAGTTAGCATTGTTACTGACATCTAGAAGCGCACTATGAATGAATAGATTGGTATCTGTTAGCATTTTATACATTTGGAAGCTTTCTCGGATGCAAAATGTGAAATTAAAAGGATACAGGAATTCAAAATGGCAAATCCAATATGGTGGACACAAAAGTCAAGAAATCAAGCTATTTTCGTGAAACCTGGTGACCTACAATCTTTTACGCGGCGAAAAATGAAGAGACGATTGACTATCTAAATGATGATCTGTAAGATATTCTTCTGAAATAGTAAGCTTGACTCGCTCCGAATGATAAACTTCACTCACAAATATAGTAAAGTTTCAGCTCAAAAATATCAAGCTGACCACCAGAGTTATGTCGTACAGATTACCCTTCATTTTTCTCTGTATAGGTCGCTCATTTCGTACACGCTTTTAGGATCCAAGTCATATTTACCAGTAAACAAAAAACGAACGATAAAATAACCAATATAAAATTCTGATATCTTTTCTGGTTATCACCACTTATAGTCTCAGTTCGAAAAACCTCAAATTTTATCCTTAAGACGTCAGGCGTTAAAAAAGTCAGGCGTTAAAGGGTTAACGGACATCACGGTTGAAATGATTTCTCTCAACGAAGAGCTCCTCGAGGAAGACGCATTGTTTTATACGCGGAGAAAAATGTTTAGCCGGACGCGAATCGATCGATTCTTTGGTGAAATATAAACGACTCAGAGAAAAACGGTAGAAAAACAAAAACAAAAAAGAAAATACCAGAATTCCCTTTAAGTTGAGCATAAATCTTGATATAATTCAGGCCAAATTCTGACTCGAAGAGAAAATTCCAAATCAATGGTATTTCGCCCGAAAATCGTCTCGATCGGCCGGACGACATTGATCTCCGTGCGGTTAAAGAGAAAAGCGTCGCTTCTGAATATGAGAGAGAGAGAGAGAGAGAGAGCCAGGCAGTCAAAGATTTTCCTGCAGTCTCGCGGCAACAATGCTCGCACAATTCGAGAAGCCGATTGCGGCTAATCGCGATTAATTATTCGCAAACGACGGTGAACGCTCTAATATCGAGTGAAACGTTCTGTTGACGCGCGCAGCGGCCAACGTGGTCGTCAACGACACCACGGAATGGGCGTACGGGCCGGAATATTCGTACAACGTGAACATGACCTATGTGATCAAGTCGGACCCGGCGGAGCCGGCCGGCACGATGCAGCTGATGTCCTCGGTGAAGTGCCAGCCGAAGGTATCGGAGAACAGCTTGCTCTGCCGCCTGCGCAACTCCACGACTATGATGTCCTTGAGGAAGGACAACACGAGCCGCGAGGTCGAGACCGAGCAGATGTTCGAGATCAAGTTTAACGAGCGGGGCGTGGAGAGCCTGCTGATCGAGCCGCCGTCTCGCATGGAGGTCGTCAACTTCATCCGCAAGATCGCCAATCAGCTGAGCGTGGGCGCCGACATGAAGCGGAAGATCGGCATGCCGCAGTTCATGGCTCGCGAGAACACCTCGATGGGCGACTGCGCGACCATGTACAGGATCACGCGCGAGGAGCTGGCCGAATCGCCGCCGGAGCCGCCGGAGTCGCCCGAGCTCGCGGAAGACGCCGACTTCCAGCTGGTGGTGCTGCCGATGGCGGACGCGCGGCCCGGCACGAGCCTCACCATCGAGAAGTCCAGGATGGGCTGCATCAATTCGCCGCGTTACGTCGACTTCTCCATGGGGATCCTGAAGATGGTACGGATATACGTTGCTCCGCGTGTTCCTCGCTCCGGCGGGAACAGGCCGAATGACGCTACGTTGCCGACAATCAACAACCGCTCTACGACTCGGTCTTCAGCTTTTCTTCGGTCATTGCTCGTACGCTCGTCTGGCTGAGACGAAGGAGTTTGCGGTCACTGCGATATCTTCATTCACTGCGTCCTGCAATGAAATCACTGACTTGAAACGAATACTCCGGATTATCTCATTCATATTAATTCGTACAATAACTGTCGATTTTATCGCCGGGAAGGTGAATATGATTGTGTCACCTTTGCGGCGATCGTGATCACGTTGGCTCGCTGAAAATTAGGCCTTTTCGATCGACCCGGTACGATCGAAATTTGTATTCTCTCACGTTCCTCACTCGGTGACTCGGTTGCAGGGGAGATTCTTCAGCAGGATCTACGTCGACGGCGCGGACCGATTTGAGACCTACACCGAGTTGGACGGGAAACTGAGAACGGAATCCTTGTCGTCCAGGATAATCACGTTCAAGAGCCTGCTGCGGGTCAGCCTGGAGAGCATCGAGCCCGCGCAGGAACCGCTCCCGTCCATCCTCTACGGCGAGTTGATCGATCTAAACATGAACAATGATATACCGAACAACATGATAGACTAGGGACGAGCGGGGAACACGCGCTCGGCGCGCCGTATTTGTAGACAAACCTGTAGCGCTTGCAGTCTAAACCCGACCAAGGAAAGCAACTGTACGGGGAACATTTAATAGAACACGGCATATAATATATAAACAATAAATGCAATTCAGGCATTCCTTCCGAAGAAACTGCCCCCCTTGCCTCTCTTTTGCTCCTTCTCCTCGGTGTCGGCCTCGGGAGGGAAGATAGATCCGCGTTAATCGCGCCGATCGCCACAACTCTCTCGCCACAAGCTGACGGCAAGGTGACAAGCATCGGTATGTGTAGTAAATTTTTTTTTTATTTAAATTACGCATACATTAAATTATAACTAGAACGATGGACGCATGTTCATGTTCGCACGCACACGCACGCGCAAACAGAAACGGAATGCACGTGTGCGCGCGCGCGCGCGCGCGTTGTGTCTATACGTGAAATTTACGTATACAATGATGATCGCGCGGATTTGCAGAGTTACTTCACCGATTCAGCGATGTGCTTAGTTCTAATTAGTCAAATTGCAGATGGCCCTCGAGAATTTTGGAGAGTCGCGCGTACACCCCGCGCGTCGACCCGACGCGGAGGAACCCCCCCGCCGTCTCGTGTGTGATTCCGTTTCTCTCTTCCTCACTCACTCACTCACTCACTCTCTCTCTCTCTCTCTCTCTCTCTCTTTCTCACTCTCAATGTTTCTGTCCCTTTATCCGCTTACATATTACACGTCAACGCTTAATCAATACCGTCGCAATCACGCGTCCACGTAGCGCTATCTCGGTTCCTTCCTTCTTCGGTGCGATAATGCAAAGAGAAATACCTTGAGAAGACAATCTAGCGACAACAAAGTGATTCAAATTGGGCAATCGATACGAATCGACATACAATATATGTACAAATCGATAACACACACACATTGCACTTTTCGTCTTGCACATTCAGCATACAGATAATCCTGCCGTAACGCAATCAACGCAGCCTAGCAGCTGTACGTAATATGTAATCAATGATCGGTCTTGGTGCTCAAGTCAGTGAAACTTATTCAATCGCTCGCTAAAGTATGCTACGTTTCTAAGAAATTTCCATCGACACACTTCGCCTCCCCCCACTTCGTCGCTCCTCTTGCCCGCTGCTCGTACAGCAATGTTTAAAATTTAACGCGAATGCAAGTTTCACGAAAAAATATCAAGTAGGGTTCAACGCTCTGAAAACAAATTTCCTGCAAAGAATCTCAGTCATATTTCCCGTTAATCCCGCGGAGATATACGTGTGTATATTCGTAGCGTTTCAGCGTTCAGCGAGTTAAACGCGCGGTAAGTACGTTTCTTGCTTCCTTTTTTTTGAATCCGATTCGATTATAAATACCGTACAAACGTCGGATCGCGTTTTACCTCGGCTACTCATAATGGCACGATTACAATGATTCCTTTTCTGCGTCGTCGCGCACGTGACGTCGAAACGCGACCGGCCGCTCTCGGTTCGTCACCCGCGGCGGCGCGCATCATCGACCCGTCATCGACGACTGACGCTTCTCGAATATATAATACGATTAGTGACACAGAGGATATTATCGCGCTAATAGCGTGTAATCAGCAAATTTCAAAGCGTTTAAAAAGGCCTTCTTTCCCTATCCCGGAAACTAAGATTCCTTCCCTTCAGTTAGAGCCGCGCGGAATGTAGTAGAAAAATTCCTCGTATGTGTGTGTATGTGTGTGTGTGTGTGTATGTATATGTGTCGATCGCGTGTAAAATATGAATACGAGATATGAGAGTTTGGTGCAGGCTTGGTCTAAGCTCGCGCGCGAATCACGCTCGAGCTTAGACATGCTGCGTGTGATTCAGAGAGCCTGTGTAAAGTTTTTGTGTGTGTGTGTGTGTAAAAAGTAACAGTTAAATAGATCACAAATCTCTTACGTCTACCGCTATATCAAATACGTATGTATACTTCGTGTTAAGTGTATAATTTACGACTGTACCGTATAATTCGTGTAATTGGACTCGTTGTGGTGGGTACTCCGAATACCCAGTACGCGCTGGACGATCCTTGTCCGGTTAAAATGCACGCAGGCAGGGTGCCCCGACAGCTTCGCTCCTCTCGACGGAGGCCGCGTTTTCCTCGAGGATGGGGCATCTCGAGGGGGAGATCACCGCTTGTCTTATTGTGCTTCGATATTCGACATTTTGATTGCACCTCCTCCCGCGTTCGCGAACAGCCTCTTGATCGCCTTGCAATTCAACATCGAAGGCACCCTGACGTGGATGTGAGGATGCGTGGAAACGTTAGCCCGGAATCCGGGGATATTTCGCGACGGTTCCTAGAGTGCTTCTCTACAATCCGGTCGCTTCGCGCGCGCGACGAAGCGTTCTTTCCCTCGGTATAAAATCGATTTGTATAAATCTGTTCGCACGGTACAACAAGTGGTGTGGAGTGACGGCTGATATGATCGATGCGGAAACAACGGAGAAGGAGAATCCCACATTGGCGCGGGTAAGACACGATATAATCAGTCGTACGTCGTAGAAAAGTGTCGAGCGATCGTGTAACGGCAATCCGATGCGGCAACGACGATTTGCGCCCGCGCGCGGTTTCCACATAGTATTGTAAGAGATAAGAAAAACACACGTCCGGCACGGAAGAAGTATTCGACTTCTATCGTGAACCTTGAATACTCCGAGACGTCGTATTCAATGTTGCCGTTTCTTGGCGTTTCGACGCCTACGAGAAGCCGCCTGTTTGAATAATCTTGCACTTTTCGAGATGTGTCGTTAATGGCGCCTTGTCGCTGACGAAATCGTTATACATACGCATATGTATCAATATACATCGAGATGTTGTACATAATTCTTAACCGAGGTATCCAAGATTCACGGTAACGCAATTTCCTTGCTCGAACGTAACGCAAAGCGCACCGTCTTCTTCTCGTTCCTCTTTACGAATTCCGCCCATCAGCCCGGTCGGTCGCACGAAGGTAGTCGGGAAGTCAGGCTATCGTAACATCCCGCATCCCCCCTATGTCGGCGGCACAGTTGCTTCACGGGCGACGATGGAATGCGAGAACGAATCCATAGACTCGCGACACGAGAACCGATCTCGTCATCGTCATCGTCGTCGTCGTCGTCGTCGTCATCGTCATCGTCGTCGTCGTCGGGATTGCCAGAGGCTTCCCCTTCTCGTCTCACGGATTCTTCTCTAGTAGACTCTCTTCGAAAGAACAAGCTAACCTAGCCTACGTATATACAGTTATTACGCTCGTGGAAGAAGCGCAAGGTGCGACCCGCCGCCAGTCGAAAGTCCGCTGTGTACAAAACGTGTGACGGCACGTGCAGATGGGGACACGTCGTCGCTGTCGGTGGCGCGACATTATTGGCCGTTGTTCATGTTGTTGATGTTGTTTTGCTGGTTCTTCACCGAGTCCATGTTGGGTACGTAGTCCATCGCCATCAGGCAGGCGAACACCGTCATCACCATCTTCGGCTTCACCTCGGTGATGTCCTCGGGTAGCGCATAAACGCGCGCCCCGCACTTCCGGGCCAAGGATATCGCGTACTTGGCGTTGTCCAAGCTCTCCTGCGCAACGAAAGGACCGGTAGTCGTCAATTAGTCACGCTAACGTACCATCGTTGGGAGACGGGGGACGGGGAAGGGAGAGGGGAAACCCATCGATCCACCTGGAGCAGTGTTCTGCGTTTCCGTCGCGTAATCGATTGATTTCCGGTCGCGCTCGGAACTACCGGTGCATACGGAACTAATTTCTAAGTTTCAAGTGGGAGATCTGGCCAGCCGATCTTTAGATAATTTCCTTTCTCATCGGGAGAAAGATGTACGATAAGAGAAAGACTTGATCGAGCATCCTTACCCCCTCGGTTCCTCCTTCCTTCACGAGATCGTAGTTCACCGAACCAGGCTTGATGGCGTCGATGAGATCGAGGACGACCTTGCCGTCTGATATCGCGTAATCCTGGAAACCCTTGATACTACTGGATTTCCCTGCGGCTTGCAGTTTCGAGTTCACCCACTGGACAACCTCCTTCTCGACGAGAGTGCTGCCCTGGGTGCCAGCTAAGGATGTCAGAATCGACAATGTGTACGATCTCATCAGTTGCCAGATCAGCGCCAACGTGAGAGTCGCGTTTCCGTCGTTGATGTCCTGCCCAGCGATGCCTACCAGCGAGAAATGCATCTGCTTGCCTAGCTCGACGGCGTAATTGCAGTTCTCCAACTTCTCCATGAACTTCCTCAGCTTGGTAAACTTCTTGTGCACCTTGTTCCAGTTCACTGTGCCCGGCTTGATGATATCGTAAAGCTGGAATATCACCAGACCGTCAGCCAGGTCGGAGTAGAGCCAATTAACGTGCGGCGCTACGCCCATTGAGTTCATCCAGTTCCTGTAAGTCTTCTCTTCCCTCGTCTCCTCCAGCGACTCCAGACCCTCGATGTTACTCTCGGGCTTGTCGAGTCCAGGATAATTGTTAAACATATTGGCGACGAAGGCCAGATTAAGCTTGTAGATGCCGTTCACCACGTCGCTGGGTGTGACGAAACTGCGGCAGCCCAGTTTCGCCGCCTGCTGAAGCATGATTTCCGCCCTGGACATGTGGTTCGGCTCCATCAACGCTTCCAATGTGACGCCGGTCGTGCTAGGTGCGATCTGCTTGATGAGATAGGTGTACACCTCAGAGTCCGTGATGTCGGACTGGAAGTTGTTGCACCTTCTGGCGATGCCAGCGTTCTCCAGGTGATGGTTCACCCATCGGAGCAGAATGGACTCTGGCGAGAGCTTCAACAGGTCCTCGATGCGTTCGCCGTCCCGCAGAAGCGTGGCCAAGCCGGGACAGTTCTCCAGAGTGATCTGGTTGAACAAACCGATTCGGATGATCTGCCACAGCAGACCCAGCACCAAATGCGGCGAACCTTTCGTGAGGTCGTGGGCGTCGATGTTTATGATATTGCAGCCTATAGCCTGGGCCGAGGACAGAGCCAGCGTTAAGTTCTCGTGTTTCTTGTACAACGTCAGATTCTTCTTGTTGATGGTTCGCTCGTCAATCGTGTCCGGGCAGGAGTGGTTGATTATTTTACTGAAACGCGAAACGGAAAGTTAGTTTCCCGGCTAATTGGCTCATAGTCGGTTACCTCGTCAACCAACATTTACGTTTCTGATACGTCTCTTCAGGTACATTTGTTTCGAGTCCGGCTTTACAAATATCTCTTCTTGTTCGATTAGTCTATTTATTTACAAGAACCTTACCAGAGGAGACCAAGGAGCAATTCTTTAAATTAATCGGAACGTTATATAAGCTACGTTATTTCTCGACCAAATTTTCCGCGCCAAGGAAAGCGCCAATTCCAAATTGGTAACCAAAGATCCGCTATGAGGAAACAGCAAGATCGTTTCAAGGCGTACCAGAGCAAAATTCCGTCCTTGACTTTCTCGTAGAGTGTCTTCCCCTCGGCGTCGATCGGCAGCAGGTGCTTCAGGTCAGGGTCGTGCGACAGATTGGTGTTGATCCAGTCGCTGAACGCCAATTGTTCCTCGAGCCTGACGGAGTGCGTGGTGCCCTCGCTGGACGCTTCGGAGATGCCGCCCAGGGTCTCGAGGTTCTCCTTCTTCGAGACGACCTGCTTGAACGTGGAGCCGAGTTCGTTGGCCTTCAGCTCCTTGCAGAGCTTCTCGAACTCCTCGAACGAGAGCCGACCTTTGTGCTCCAGCTGCTGCTTGTCGTCGTACTCCTCGATCATCTGGCGCACCTTGTAGCCCGGCATCTTGAAGCCGCACACGTCCAACGCGTTACGCAGCTCGGTGACGTTGATGAAGCCGTCTCCATTCGCGTCGATCTGTCGGCCGAGAAGAAAGGAAAAAGCGTCAAGCATTGCCGTCGCTGAATATGTCATACGTCGTGAGACGCGCGCGCAAAGCCGAGTACGCAAAAGTCCACGGACGTCCACGGATTTGCAAGGGAGCCAACGGATTTCTTTCGCAATTCCCGAACTAAATGGAGCAAAAGACCGAGCAGACACGCGCACGAAGTAATTCTTGCGGCGCTCCGCTCCGAGAATACATTCGTCACAGAGCGGAGCGGATTATCGGAGACAAATTGTTAGATCGAGCCAGTCTGGTCACGATTGTACAGCTTTCTAGGTTTTTAATAAAAAGGGATCATTCTCAAGGTCCTCCTGAATTTAATTTTTCTTATTTATTCATTCATATACTGTACAGTTTCCTAGGTTTTCGATAAAAAAAGATAAATTCTCAAGATCCTCCTGAACTTGAATTTAATTTTTCTTATTTATTCATTCGTATTGTACAGCTTGCTAGGCTTTTAATAGAAAAAAAAAATAATTCTCAAGGTCCTCCTGAACTTGAATTCAATTTTTCTTATTTATTCATTCATACCGTACAGTTTCCTAGGCTTTTAATAAAATAGATAATTCTCAAGGTCCTCCTGAACTTGAATTTAATTTTTCTTTTTATTCATTCATATCACGAGGTTAAGTACCCCCCTCCCCCCATTGATGTACTTATAAAGTAAACTTTAATTTCACTTCACTTTGACGACCGACGACGACGACGACGTGTCGTGTCGATACGATTCGCGCGGGTCGCGGTTCTCGTTTCTCTTTCTCACGACCCGACGTCGATTGCGAATATAACTGACGCGTGATTCAAGGATTCTTTCCGGGGCTACTTCCTTGCCGCGCGGCCGGGCTTGAGTAACGATCCACGTCGGCCGAATGATAAGCCGGAGTCAAACTTGCGCCATCGAGCACCCTCAGCGGCGGGGCGTCGCCGCGGGGAGCCATTACGGTAGAGCTCGCGCGCTTCCGTCGCGCAGGAGCACGTCCATTAGAGAAGACGAATGATCACATGCGTGCGGATAATAAAATGCAATTAATTTAATGATCAGGACGCGCGCGCGCGGTAACGAGCATTAACAAGTTTCGTAAGGCACCGCGATAATCAAGGGATAACGCTGCTTGGAGCCGAACGGACGTGAGAAGAAGCCTACCGCATTAACCGACACGGCCCGCTCTATTGTGCGGTTATTTCTTTGTTTCTTCAGTGCGCCGGTGGATGTACGGCGGCGACGGCGGCGGATGTCGCGCTTCAACGTAATCGCTCTTGCTCTTACAGGCGGCGAGTGCGAGCGAAGGCGGGGAAATCCGAAATCGAGAATACCCCCGCGCTTTGCTCTCTCACCGGTCATTCACCGGCACGACGTACATGTCTTTACTCTTTTGCGGCACGCAGCAAAGTTGCAAGAAGCGCGCGGCGTCGACGGAAACGACCGGGAGGAAATCGTACCCCTCCTCGTCGCGGTCAGATTTCGCTGCCGTTACGTCGGTTCCTGCTGAAAATTCTGTCTGCTTGTTTTATTTTGCCCACTGCCGTCGTGTCTCAGATATTTCTCGAAAATTCGCCACTTCCGTGATACTTCCCCGAGGTTGCACCCGACGTGCCCGTCCCGGCCAATAAACGCGTCCCGGCTGAGCCGTCGTAAATCCTTAGCTCGGCCGTCGGGATTCTTTCGGCTCTTCGTCGAAAGGCTGCTTGCTCTCGCTAGGCAAACACGTCGCGTTGGTCCGTGCGATTTTAGCGCACACGAGCGCTATCTATAATATAGTCTACAAATAAGATACCCGGGGGCTTTCTCCCGGAAAGTATCGCAGTTGGAGAGAAATTGTAAGCTCCGATCGCGGCAAAGACCGATCTCCGGGTTTTACAGTCGAGTCTCGTATACGTCGATTTCGAGAACATCCCCCGGAAACAAAGCACGCCAAAGCAAAGTCCCGAGATTACCCTTTACATCTTGACGGTACTTAAAAGTACCGCTTTATATATAAATGCTCGTACGTTTTAGAGCTTTATCCGTCTTATCCTACATTCTTGTCGATGCTTGTATATATATATATATATATTAATTTAATAATTTTGAAATTTCCAAAGGTCGATAAGTTAACAAAAGTTAGGGCACTGTTATAGTAATATATTCTTGATAGCAAGTAAGGTTAAGAAAAAGTCTAATACTATTTTTTCTTTCGACGAATAGTTAGCGAGATATCGTAAGTTAAATGTTGAAAAAGTTACCAAGTTTTCCTTAAATATTTCAAAAAATATTAGGCAAATAAAAAACGTTTCAGACAAAAGTTGTTGAAATTAATCGATAGAAAAAGAAGATACAATAAAAAATTGGGCCTTCTATTTTCAAAAATTAAGTTGACCTTCAACTGACCTTGCAAATGACCTCCAAATAAAAAACTGATAATGCCATTCTCTTTCCCCTTCGAAATCATGGAGAACGCGTTTTAACTTTCTTTAGGGGCTATCTTTCATAGTTTTCGAGTACTTTTTTACCTGTTACGTTTGAAATTTAGCACCCTGTATGTATATATATATATATATATATATATATAAGCACCAGCTTAAAATTTAATCATTAAATTCTTCCAAAATTTATTTTCCCATTCCTTACGTTTGTAATACGCCAAAAGCTATTTAATTACACAACAATTTAATAAGAAGGTATTAGGTAAATTGATTCGGAATATTAAGGTTAAAGCGGCTCGTTCTCTTCACTCGAGGATTTTACATCGCGATTTACGCGCTCGCGCAGCCGTCCCGTAAGGAAGTTGCGATGTTGCGTAAGAAACGCAGCCACGAGACCAACACGAGGCGCGACTCCGGCGTCGCGTCGCGAGAGACAATCCGACGTGCGTGCGGAAGAAATCCGGGCCGCGGGAAAAATTCCGCTAGGATCCGCGAGCGTATCCAGACGGCGCCCGTAGACGTCGCAGTTTCTCGCGGAAACAATAGGCGTACATACGGTAACGACGCGGCCGCGAACGACGGCGGGAACGGCCACGTGTGCGAGGAGGCTTCTCGGAAGACCGCAGCATCGGGGTCAATCGGCAGTTCCTTATACCCATTCCCGACAAGTGCCCTCGCGAAGCGGCTGATTAACATTTCGTTCCCGACGAACTTCTCGCGAGCCGTTCCGACGTGAAACTCGTCCTCGCGCTCGAGGAGAGCGCGCGCGCGCGCGGGGGGGCCCGGAGATTTATGCGAGTCGCGATTTATGCGAGAATATCTGCGAGCGTGAATCAGGCCCGTGTGCGTTTACTCATGCGAAACCACGCAAGCCAACTCGCCGTTCGGCTTGGTTAACCCTTAAAGGCTACCATGGATGAAATTTCATCCCACGCGAATTTGCGATCTTATTAAAAAATCCAACCACAATGGCGATACTAATTTCATAGGTATTTCTTTACACTATCAGTGGCGACAATATCGTGATAAAACAAATCAATCCTCACATATACTTTGCTGTGAAAAGTTGGCTCAGGCTGATATTTGACGGTAGCCTCGAAGGGTCTCGGAGAGCGAGAAGGCGACTACTAATCGAGCGCTTTTCCCGCTTCTCTCTCAGCCTCGATAAAGAATTGCCCCAATTTTGCTCATCGAGTTTCGGCGCCTCGAAGCAGCTCCAAATTTTGAGACGATGGAAAATTGACGATGCGTAAATTAACGAGAGGATTCTCCTGTCTTTGATCATTTGTACGAGCTGCATTGTACAATTTGTTGATGCAAAAAAGATGCTATATTCTATTTTATTTACGCGAAACGTGCCAGTTGCCGCGATGAGGATTGATCAGCGAGTCGCGGGAGGAGATGAGGGAAGAGATTCGATCGCAAGAAGAAGAATCGACGAATTATTTTCTCAGATATCGAGATATCACGAGAGGAGAACGGCGGTCTTTATTGACCGTGGCTCTCTCTCTCTCTCTCTCTCTCTCTCTCTCTCGATTAATGCAATTTAATTCCATTTTACGGCGCACGTATCGACTGTCCTTGACGGCGCGTCGTGTGACAAGGTTTCACAGCGAGCGCATCTAATTAGTCGGGAGGATTCGTATTACAACAGAGCGCGCCAGCTCTCTCTCTCTGCTCCGGCAACGAAAATTCCCTGTACAAACGAGCCCTCCCGCCCTCCTCCGTCGGTATTCCCCCGGGTCTTTGGCTTTTCTCGGACCAAAAGTTCCTTGGTTAACGTCGCTGAGTTAACGCCCTGAGCAAAGAGACTTTATCGAGACTATCGTCTTTCTCTCTCCCTCTCTCTCTCTCTCTCTCGCTCGCTCGCTCGCTCGCTCGCTCCCGTGCCAGTGGCGGAGCGTGCCGCGAGGAAACCCGAGAAAATGGAAGCTGAGTGCACTCACTAACTTAAATAGCTGTTCGAAATCCTGAAAGTACTCCTCCACGACGTCCCACCGTTTCAACTTAAAAATTTCCATGTCGGCGGCGGACAGAGGCGGGCGGGTTCCTGGCTCGCGGAAAAAGCGCTCAGGCTCGCGCGACACGCAGAAACAGACTGGCCATGTCACGATAGCTTATCGGCCTTATCGATCGCACGATAACGTGGAAATGGGATGTAAGTGAAAAAAATCGCACGCGCGCGCGCGCGCGACATCCCTAGAAGCAGGTCGAGTGGCTCGAGTGGCACTGCGATGCGACCTATGCATTTGGGAACAACGAGGACTTATCGCGCGTCCTCGTCGAGAAATCGGCAGAAGAGATCGTCGCAGAGTCCTGGAATAAGATCCGCGAGCCGCTGCCCCTCACGCGGGGATTTTCCGAGTCACGTACGAGCGGACGACGCGAAATTCGAGGGCCCGACGTCGAGCCGCAGGTGAGTCGACGAGGAGGAGAGGAGCGTGTCATCGCGCGTCACGCGCGACGCCATCGTCTCCAGCGTCGACTTTAACCGGATCAGACGTCACCGGTTACGCAAAAAGACACGTCGAGCCGTGATTCACACGCGGTGCTTCTCGCGAGTCCACTG